AGTCCTTCAGTCAATGTTTGCAGACTTCCTTTTTTTTCTTTTCCTTTTTTTTGGCACCACATGTACATTACTTCTCTATTTCAGATTAGATAGGCTAGTTAAGAGGACAGTCCAAAGGCGCCAACATGGATCAAAAGACCCTCTGTTGTTCAAACTGGTTCCCATATGATCCATATTTTCCACTTGAAGTGAATGAAATGAATAAGAGTGACTAGTGAATCTGTGATTAACGGATTCTTATGTTTTGTACAGGATTCAGAATCGCAGATCATTTAGATTACATTGCATCTGTACGGTTGGCATAAAGCTTCTTCCAGACAAATACCCTTTATTTCTTGGACAGGAGCCATATAAAGGTGCATCAAGCATGTAGGTCTATATACTGTATGTAGTTCTAGATGGGAAGAGAATGTTTTGTGATAGATACATGCTTGTATTATATTGCTCAGTATCAGTAATGTAAAAAAGTAATGTTAAAGTGTGGTAAAGGGCACAACGACTAATTAGCATTCTTTCATTCATTCCTTCATTCATTCACAGAACAAGTAGGCATGTCTTTAATACATGTTCATAACAAACGCAGTATGTTTGTGATCAAGCCCAATTTGCTCTTGGCCACTCCACCCAAGATTGTTAATGGTGGTAATGATTCCAAAACAATGCAGTCTTTTTGCTTCTCTTTTCCAGACCACTCTCTGAGGTTCCCACAATTTGCTGGCTCCACCCCCTCCTTGTTTCCAGGGAGACCCTTGCTCCTCCCCCCCTCGAAGGAGACATGGAGCCTCAAGGGAGTCTGGGAGCAGAGGGGGAACAGGGGGTTCTGGTTCCGAGCCCCAGGAGTGAAGCTGTGACTCATGACATGGAGGAGCTGTCCTTGCAGCCTAGTCAGAGTCTTCCACCCATCAGGGAGCGCAAGAACGGTGAGCAAATTCGCAAAGGCAGCGTAACTTCTACACAAGCACACCGCTCTACCTCCTACTTCCTCATCATCTGTTAAGCGCCAGCCCTGTTTTGACACTGATAAAATAAGCCCCTCCAGACAGCTGAGAAATTTGTTTGTGGAGAGAGAAGTGGGGGAATTACACTGGAATTGCGTGCAGACGCCAACATATAATCATGGCTTAAACAGCCCCTTTAACTCTTGTCCAGAGGTTTCTTGGCTCACTTCTGGGTGCATGACTGGTAAACTAATATGATATATCTCCATGTCAACCTCAATCGCCAGATCCCTCCGATATCGAAGGGTCTCAGACCTGTGCTCAGTGATGCTGATCCTTGTCACTGCTTTGACTTCCCTGGCGCTGAAAAGTTTCACTGCGTTCTTGAGACCTCTGGTCACTGTGACTTCATGTTCCCTCGGTCACCTCCGTGGCTGTTTTCGCTCGGTTCTCACAATCGTGGCCAAAGCTCCAGGCTGGAAATGTTTTACTGGCATGTGAACTGTAATGAAAGGGCACAGAGGGGCTGGTCCAGCGGGCAGGCTGGCACTGAACCGCGCTTCATTAGCCATTGACATTTTCACATACAGTTGGTCCCTGGGATCCACCAATGCAGTGGGTGTTATTCTCCCAGTGGCCATCACTCCCCAAGAGAGGACCACTTGAGGAGTGAATGTCAGTGTATGCTCAAGACTGCAGGGTAATTTGTTGCACAGAGTTCAGCTCCCCCCAGTCACCACTCAGCTCCCTTATTATTCAGCTACCCCCAGGCCCAGCCCAACCCAGCCCTGCTCCCTAGAAGTACAATTGAAACCATGACTCACTGAGTTTGTTATCTCAAAAATGAAAGAAGAATGTCTTTATTTGTTTTCGCTGGTTCATGTCTAACAAATCATTACTGAAAAGGCTTGACCTCTGGCACTCCCAAAATAAAGGGTTCCAAATAACATGGGGTATCATAATATTCACACGGTACACAGGCCTTGAGATGATATTGCTGGGGTATGTCAGCTTTGACATTGTGAGAGATTTTGTACAACTGGAATGAATTTGATTGAACTTAAACTGTCCTTGTATAAATGTGTAGCATGAAAGTTCATGCCACCAATTTGACATATTAAGAGCCCTCTGCTGTTGGCATGGCATGTTAGTACAGTTCTCCTCAAAGCTTACTGCAGCATACACTCTCTTTGTGATTGATTCTTCATTGTCTAGAGACATATCGATCACAATCTGCAAGAGCATCAAGCTGTGAGCTGCAATAACATCCCACTGTCTTTGGCTAGTGTCCATGCATCACTTGGCTATCAGGAAGGCTCTGTCCAACCTTCCTCCAAAAGTGTTTTCTCTGTGCGTATACCTCATAGACTCTCACATGGTTTTCCAACACTCTTACACTTTTCCATGAATAGGTACAGATAGACTGAAATGTGATCTATATTTGAATTGTATGTGTTTGAAACCCCAGGGAACCTGTTCTTTCTAATTAGGTTAATCTTTCTCTTTTGGGCACACAATGCACATGTACATTGTCCAATAAATAGTCAAAATTCTACCCTTTCAGTGTAAACTGGGTCCTAGTCCTAATTTTGGGTAATGCTTGCATAAGATGTACCCTCACGAATCACAGGCTGATGAGGCTTGTCCCACCCACACAACTTTAGCAAAACCGTGTTCCTCCACAATCTGTCTTTGTTAGAGTCAATCTTAGCGCGCAAAAGCTAAAGAAAGCGTGAAAGCTAACAACCGAGCAAATGCCAACAACATAGTAAGGGAAGCCAGCTCATTTGTCTGTCTGTCTGCCTTACCTTTTTTAAGACCCTGCCACAAAAAGGTGGATAATGTTGTTAGTCACAGGATGCAGCACCACTTGCATATGTAGTGCTTGTTTTGCTCATTTCTTTATGCTCGCACTGTGTTTAGTTCTGCTTCAGTGGCGTAGCAGGCTGGGAAGTGTTGGATTGAGGTATGTCAGTTATCCATGCTCATTAGAAGATTAGGACTATGCCCAGACAGATAGGCCTGCTAAGCAGTTTTAAGTAGTGTTTTATTATATTTGTATTTTTTTTATCTGATAAACTTTGATGGATTTAATATACCACTAAATTTTATTATCATAATATTTTGAATAGTTTACCCTGTGTTCCCTGGGAATTTAAGTCCAAAGGGCTTTATAGGTCTGGAGTCAAGGATGCAGACATTGCTGCCTAAACTTGTCAGCACTGACTCATTATCAGGGTACCAAAGAGTGGTCAGTAACTGGCTGGAAATTTCAGCCATTCACCCTTTATCACCCTCCAGTGTTTTACTCTCTGCATGCTGTCTGATTTTTTGAGGTTTTCTTGATTGCCCTTGTGAAAGGTCTTGTTTTGTTTGGCCTCTGTCAGTGTCACCCAGAAATGTTTCCCCTAGGAAAATCCAAAATGTGTTGCATAAGTGGCATGTAGAAATTATTCCAGTACATTTTTTACTTTCTGCTTTTTTTGGAACAACTATCTGTCCAAATGACTGAAAATATTAAAGCATTAAAGTATTTGTTTTCCCTTGCAGCAGTTATGAAAACAGCAACAAGGCAGCTGAAACTTTCAGGCATTTTCAAACCTGAAAGCCTGGACTAAGGTCCTAACCAAGGTTCATATTTTTGTTATGCTGTATACATTTAATCCGGTTCTTGTTTCACATTGAAGTTTAGCAAGCGTGCTAAAGAACTTTGCATGACACACCTGTGTCCTGTCGTCATCACATACGTGAGCTGCATCTCCCTGCACTTGACATTGATTGGTTTGTAGAGGTGTGTGCGTTTGACGTCAGCATGTTGTCAAATATCCTCTCTCTCTCGTTGTCTCAGAAAATAAAGTAGATGTTTGGGCATTTTTATGTTTTATATTTATATTTTTATGTTTTATATTTATATATATATATATTTTTTCAAATTGACCTTTTCGTTGGACAAAATTACCGTTACAATTTAATATTTTGTCTCATCCTCTCCCCGTGTGCTAATGACGCTCGTTTTACTTCTCTCCCGGTTCTTTTTGTTCTTTCATTGTTTATATGGGTGACAGTAGCCTGCCTTAACTTACTGTCATTGGTCCAAAAGTCCAAACCATCCAAAAAAGTGTTTTCGCACTGCAAACAAAGCAAACCATGGTTCAGCTTGATTCAGAACAAGACCACCTCTTTTGGTCGGACCAAATTTTCAGACCAAACTGTAAAGTCTGAAGGTGTGTGTAAAAGTACCCTTAATGGTGATAGGAGATTTTTTAACTTTGAAAATTGTACATTGAATTCGAAACATGACCTGTCCAGGGTGTTTCCTGCCTTCTGCCCAGTGACCACTGGAATAGGCTCCAGCACCCCTGAGACCCAGGAGGACAAGTGGCTTAGAGATTTGAAACATTTGAAATTCCAATAAAGCCAAAGCAGCCAGGGCTAGTGTCTGTTTCCACCTCCACACAGTGACAGGGATAAACACTGCTGTCCCATGTGGCGCTGCGTGTTTGTTTTTATCATTTTTGCTCAGTGACATGTTTGGACGGAGCGAGCTCTTACGGTTCGTTTTCTCAGGATGTGCTGGAACCCGTACAGAAAATACATTAACGTGGAAAAAAAGAAAGTGGAACTTGGCCGTTCTGCTTTCTGGCTCGCCTATTTCGCATCAAGTTTCTCAGTATTGAAGTTTAGTCGTGTGTCCGCGGTTTCCCTTTGAGGACAGCGGAGCGTTAACGGGGTTAACAGACTCGGCTCGTGTGGCCCCGCCCCCTGCCGATGATGGGCTGAGCCGCGGCACAGAGAGCAGAACTGAGAGAAAGCGCGTGCGTGTGTGTGCGCGCGAGCGAAAGAGAAAGAGAAAAAAGCTCGGCTTGTACTGACTCGCCGCTCCTGACAGACCGCAGCGCTCGGTAACGCTCCTCTCGCCGCTCCATGGGACTGCAGACCCGGCCACTGTCGGCCCCCTCTCTCGGCTCCATGGCCTGCCTCGAGGTTGAAGCTCCAGCCGTCTGCAGGGGTAAATTCCCACCTACCGCGGTTTTTGCTCTGCTTTTGGCTAAACCCGCTCTGCACTTTCAGGCTAATTTTAACCAAATTTAGCTAGCAGAGTGGTGGTTTGTGTCGACGTACCTGTGATAATCGAGGAGCTGTGTAAATGAAAATAAGAATATGTTTTAAAAAGCTTTTGGAGCCGACCAAAGAATAGTTCAGATTATTTTCTTGTGTGTGAAGCCAATCAAAAGAGTGTCGTCTTAGAGAGGTGATGATGATATTGATGATAATGATGATGGACATTCCTGTAATGGTTTCCTGAAGAGTTCTGTCGTGTACTATTTCTGTATAGCTATAGATATATTAGATCAGATAGCCTGTACTATAACAGGCAAGTAATCTTGAGATAGGAATTCAAGTTCACATATATGTAAACTTAAACTCGTATGTTATCTCAAGATTTGATGAGTTACATGGCTGTTTATTTTCCTGCATGTGTGGCATTCATCTTCTGAGCTTTGGGCAGTTTTTCCACTGCCATGTTTTTCCATGTTTCAAGAGTTGTACATTCAAGCACTTTAGGGTTGTTTTTGGAGTCTGGTTCTCTGTTGAAGTATAGCATGGTGTGAAGTACCTAACTCTAAAGTATGAGCTATTGGTTGTTGGGACGCTGCCCATCACTGATATCATCCATCAACCAAAGTGTATTTCCATTTATCAGGTTTCCAACCTCACATCCATAAATTAGTCTTCAGGCTCTACACATTGTTTAAGACCCTAAGGCCTGTTCTTCTGTAAGCACTTGTGCAGATACAGTAATCTCAAGAGCAGGGGATATTTATTTTCTAGAGGTAATATCAACATAGTGTAGTGCAAAGTCAGTCTGTTACTTAAACATACTGAATTTTGTCAGAGTGAAAAGGGCTCAATAGCCATAACAAAGCCAGTTGGCTTTATTTATGTGCTGAACGGCCAGTACTCCAGCCTCTCGTTTCGTGAGCGGTTGAGTCAAGAGGAACAGGAATGAGGATTTTAGATCGGATCAGGCCTCCGAGTCTTAGCGAGGCAAGAGGAACTGAATACTTTTTCTTTATTCTAGAGTCGGAGTGTGTGGCTGAGCCAGCTTGCATCACATGGGTCAGCCAGGGTTCACGCGAAACCACGTCATCATCAGCACTGACATCAGCCTCATAAACGTTAGCTGGACCCCTAGTGGTGCACGTACCTAACACACTGATGTTCACACAGGGCTGCGGTATTACTCCACACATCTGGAGGACATGTGGTCAGCGTCATTTCATTTGGTGCACAAAGCCAGTCGTTTGTGGCATAAGTCTGGATTTTTAATGGGTATCTGCTTTGATATTGCAACCAAATGAATGCAGGCCTCCTTCGATCTTCTTCTTAGACCCATGTAGCCCCTGGCACATGTCATAAAAGAAAACATGGACAGGCACAGAGTGTTCTGATCTGAACCTTGTTTTAGGAGAGGATGGTGGGGGGGTGATCCAGGAACAATCCCCCATGCTACAACCTCCTTGTCCAGCAAGCCTACAGGGAGCGTGAGTCCACGCTAATCCCAGCCCCCCTGTGCCGCCCCCGGACAGTGCCGTTTCCCAGGCCTCGTTCTCACAGCATTTGGGTTTATTTTCGCCAGGATGAGTCACAGCCCCACTCAGACGTAGTGGAAGTTCTCTTGGGACCACAGCAGGCTAGGGTGTGCTAGCCCCTTCTCTGCAGACCATTCAGAGTAAGACTGAACCCTGTGAAGGCTTGCAGGTGTGTGTGGACAATAGGGCTTGGTGATATAGTCTTGTGACAATATCTTTTTACATATTCAGTTTTGATAATTATGTGCATTTCTAATGATTAGTTTTAGGTCTGAATGGTAATTTGAACCTTGAAGAAAGCAAAAGGCACATTCTAGTGTAATATACAAAATAATCAAGGTAGAACATAAAATGAGTGATTTCAACACTTAAACCAACTTGCTAGCTAGCTAACTCGGCTTACTGTCTCGCTGGTTTGTGCTAATATTAATGAGAGGCATGCCTTTTTCTCTCACCCTGTGAGGCGTGGCGAGAATGAGACAAGACAGATGATAGATACATACATATATATATATATATATATGCGTGTGTGTGTGTATAAATAATATTATATTTCCCTTCAGAGGGTGTTTGATTTTTGGAACCAGTCAACATCAACAAAAACATAACACCCATTTACGTGATCATGGAAGGGATTACTTAAATCCTTAAGTGACAGCGAACAGATTGAATTGAGCCATAGAGGAATTACTGTTTAGTCTATTTAAAGGTGTTGTTGATGTTCAGTAATGATAGAGAGTTCAGTTTCCAATCACCTTAGAATGAGGCATTGAAGCATTGCACTCAGCTGGTCTCAAAAACAATTTCCCTCACTTTACCTTACTAATATTGAAATGAGGAAGAGAAAAACGTAATCTTTTGATCAAACATACTTCAAACACACATTATCAATCCATCTTTTATTTCGCTAGTTCTGTTGTTGTTTTGTCACCTAGCCTTAGTGGACAACACTTTTTATGCCATGACATCATTCACCACCGTTCCCCATTACCCTACCCTTCAGATATTTTTACTGTGGAGTAGCATTATTGTGCTGAAGTAACACGTTCTTCCTTACATGTTTATAAATGTTTAAACTGAGCGCCTCTCCTGCGGTTTATGATGACGGAAAAATAACATCGAGCACTGTCCAGGGATTTACGGGCTCTGCGTAATACTCCACATTTTGCTCCTTTGCTCAGAGGTTTGCTCCCTTTTGATGTTCCAAAAGCTTAATGGATCGCTGCCTACCCATCCAGAGAAAGACTAAGCATTTCACTTTTTATGGCCTAGCACTTGCGAAAGAGACGTTGTTCAGCCAACACTTGTCTGACGTCACGTGAAGCAGCTGATAGGATCATCAGGCTGTGTGTTAGTCTTTCTTTCACTCAAAAAGCCTCTTTCTCAACAGTGTTGATAACTCTCTGTAGCCATAACATGTTTGCTTTACGTGTACTTTGAGGTCAGTCCCTCCAATCCCTTTTCCCGACTGCTTCTTTCATTACTTTGGAATAAAAGTAATCTTCCTGAAATGGGGGTAAAAAAGAAGAGTGAATAATCTTGGCTGTGGGTTCGCAAACTATGGATTAAATATATTAAAATGATGAATGATCTGTTTTTCTGTTAGCTTTGGCCTCAGTGGGTTAATAAGTGACCTTGATATGTCTGGCATGTGTTACTATTTTACAGAATTACTCCACTTCAGGCTATATGAAACTGAGGAGCCAGTAAACCGCATGAAGTAAAAAAATGGAGCTTAGTTTTGTGTGGCTGAAAGCTGACGGCACTGTCTCTGTTCCTTTCCAGTCCTGCAGCTCAGACTACAGCAGAGACGCACTCGGGAGCAGCTTGTGGACCAGGGCATCATGCCACGTGAGTATGCAGCCTGCTCTGGAACAAAACAACTAAATGCCACCTAATAATGTTTAAACAAGTTATTAATCCCTCCTGAAACAGGCACCAGGGAGGCGAGCACAAGGGAATTGTCAGTTTGCTGAAGTCTTACGTGGCCTTGGCTAAAGATTATCAGTTAATCCACTGTTGTGGATGCAAAACAGTATCAGTCTGTTCTTGGCTATGATAAAGTCTCTTAAAGAAATAGTTTGGCAAAATATCAAATTTACACAGTATTCCCCTTACTCCAAATGTGGTAGATCAGCCAAAACATGTTTGGTGTTTGGAGTTATCTCACGTTCTATGACACACTATTATTTGTAAAAATCAACAAGTATAGACAAACATCAGGGCCGCTACTGCTGTTTTTAGCTTATGCAATGTGCTTTTGTCTAGAGCTGGGCGATATGGCAAAAACGCAGTATTATGATACTTCAGTAAATTTTAACGATACACAATATTTCTTTGGACATTTGATAAGTTGGACAAAAGAAAGTAGTGCCACGTTTAAAAAATGTCAAAGGAGTACTATGTGTGCAGTGATTTGTATTCAACATTTCACATACTGCACTGCACTAAATCCAATTAACCAGGACTAATTGTGCTCTCTTTATAATCTCTTAATAATGCAGTTTTTTAAGTATTGATGATGTTCACAATATGCTCAGAAAAGCCTATTGTAACATATTGTGATGTAGTTTATCATAACAGTAAATATTGTCATATTGCCCAGCCTTACTTTTGTCCATTTTTCTAGATAAGTGCCAGAAACCACATAAGGAAGTCTGTTTAAGATTACTTGCATGCAGTTTACACAATGCTAACTGATGAAGTATAAGCTCCTATCCCTTGTTAGCTACATTAGCCAGTCTTTCTAGGACTTTTAGATAAAAAATTCATGCAGATCCAGCCAGCTATTGTAACGTAGGCAAGAGCTTGCAGTTTTGTCCAGTCACCACATTATTAGTGCATTAAGTGTGTAAATCGTATCAGTGCTTTCACAGTTATTCTAAGTCTGCATCTTTTGTACAGAGGTGATTACATTTACCAGCAGTAAAATTGATAATATTGTTTATTTTCTTTTCAAGAAAATATCATGATAACTATTGCCGGTGCCTAGTTTAGAGTGAGGCAGTACTAGTGCTGGATGTTCTGCATTCACTTGCACTTCAATTTGCTTTTTCTCCTTATCTTGCTTGAATAATTGACTGCAGAAATTTCTCAGAGGTGCACTTAATTTCCAATTTGTTTCTCTCTTGTTTTTATCTGAAACGAGACTACGTTCAAAACAAGTTGAAGAAATGGACCAGGCTTACAGTCGTCACAGATTTGTACAGTTTTATTGCAAATTCTCCCCCTCTAACACAAATATTGAGAAAACTTGTTGTGGTATCAAGCATTCTAGGCCATATCAATACAGAAAAGGCCCCGAAGTCTTGGTGGGAGTGCAAAACTGCTCCAGTTTTGCTCCAGTGCAAAACTAAAAAAGGAAAACTGTGTTCACCAAAGATGTATTGGCTGATTTATTATTTTTTGTATGGTGAAAATAGTGTAAATTAGATTTTTCGCTGAACTTTTACTTTAAGACGCTTACTTGGTGTAAAGTGGAGCACATTACCCACAAGTCCCATTTTTCTCCTAATGTGTCCCATGGTGGATCGAGCATGTCATGAGTGGTGGTAAGATGAGCCGTTCTAATAAAAGAACATGTCTGTGGAGGATACACGCTGATAAGAAAGCACAGAGAGAACAATGGTGTGAGTGATGTCTGTCTGGCTCGGCAGGAGCTCACCCAGCACTAGCCGTCTGCGTGGCCAACATCTCCTGCAGAGCACCAAGCTCCAGACACGCTCCAGTCAGCCACTGGACCTGTTCTTCGGCTCTGAAAGCCCTGTTTTTCATCCCAGCTCCCAGACCTTATAGTCAAGTCACTCATAAGGAACAGTACTCGACCAGTGCCAGGAACACCGCACTTCAAAGTCGCATTTGGGTGCTTTCTTAGTGGATGACTGCTTGTAGTCATTGCAGCAGAAAAGTACTGTTTGAGGTGTAATGTTGGTTTAGTGGAATGACTAATACAGAGCCACCAAAAGGAGGTCGAGTAAACTGCCTCTTACCAAATCAGTTACTCAGGCCTCCTGTCATGAATGGATGAAACAGTCACTTCCTGTTAGTCGTGGAGGCAAGCGCATTGTGAAAACCAGTTAACCAGCGAGAGGAAGGAAACCTTTCATCTTGACAAAGTGTTTGTGTTCTCAGAAGTACAACTCTTTGGCAAAATGCTGACTATCTGTTTTCACTTCTGCAGATAAAAATCAATCTGAGATTTCCCCTTGGGTCATGCACAGGATTTTGGCAGAATTGCCCTTAGAATCAGCACAAGGGCAACCACATTCTAGTGTTTAGCACAGAAGTATTAGATAGAAACCTTCTGTAAGCAAATGATGATCTTTGGTGTATTATTCTCTCTAGCACTGAAGACTCCTGCTGCCTTTCATGAGCAGATCCGAAGCCTAGAGAGAGCCAGGGTGAGACTCTCACAGATCCTAAATATACCCAAAACAGAAATGAACTGGTTTATATCTATATTTAGCAGAATATATTTAAAAGAATGGTTATGCTAACTGTTTGCTGTTGAATTCTGTGTGCAAGTAGAAATCTGACATGATGTGAGCATTAAAATCTTTTCTTTTTCATTCACTGTTTCACTACGGTCAGACTGAGAACTTCCTGAAGCACAAGATTCGTAGTAGACCTGAGCGTGCAGAGCTGGTCCGCATGCACATCCTCCAAGGTAACCACACCACTAAACTTTATCTGTGATAATGAGAATTTTAGAGCATTCTAAGAACACAAAGATGAAATGATAGTGTAGTTTTGATAAAATCATGCAAAATGTTAAAAAACTTTTGCTCATGTATAAGAATTTATACAGAACAATATTGTATCTGAACTAAGTAAGAAATGCTGTGCTCAGAGACCCAAGCAGAGGCCTCACTGCAGGCCACCCAGCTGAAGCTGAAGAGGGCTCGACTGGCCGATGACCTCAACGAGAAGATCGCCCAGCGGCCTGGTCCAATGGAGCTGGTAGAGAAGAACATCCTACCTGTAGACTCTAGTGTTAAAGAGGCCATCATTGGTAAGCAGGCCAAAAAAGAACAGCAGTCCATTTGGAACTTATCTCTGGGTTTCAGTGGCTGTGATTAGAGTTTTTTTCATGGCTTTGTGTTTTGTTTTGTGCTGCTGGCACAGAGGGTGAGGTGAACTATCAGAAGACCCTGGACGTGTATAACTTTGATGAGGATAGTAGTGAAGCTCTGTCTCCAGAGGATCCAGCCAGTCAGGAGTCTCAGTGCTCAGTCCCATCCCCAAGAGAGGCTAAGCTGCCTGACATTTCTTCTGCTTCCCAAAGCCCTGGTTCCAATCTGCAGGTGAGTCTGCCAGCACTCTCCCTAACTGTTAATGCTACAGGTTAGACGGCATTAGGGCCCGACCTGTGATATTGCTGGGCTGGAAAACTTGGACAGTGGGAAAGTTCCACAGATTTATCAGTACTGGTTAAAATAGCACTAATAAAGGACCAATATTGTCACTTTAGATAAGGAAACCAAATGTCAAATAATACAAAGCTGTTTGAACAAACAAAATCAAAATATGCTGTTGGTTGCTAAGGGAAGTCTTGTTGGAACATTGTGAGAATTACCTGCTATAAGTTTTAAAGTTTTTAATTTGCAAAGTTGCAGAGTATAAAAAGTTTTAGAGTGTTTTTAAAAGTGAATTCTTTAAAGCTACTCTATATAAGACTTTTGTGGAACAACATTTTGTAATATTGGTGTGCTTCGGACCCCTTCCTCGAGTGGATTAATCTGCATGTCAAAAGAGTATTGAAAGAGAACTTGTTGAAGGACATGTCTTCCGAGGATGTAAGTGAACGATTTACTGTTATCATCATCTCTTCATCAGTATAATGTTTGTTTTGCATTTGAGACCTAAACATCAAGCTGGAACTTCTTTCTGAGTCCGTGTGTAAAGACATATGACGTAAAAACTTATGACGTTGTCCGAAAACTCCCACAACAATCCATGCCTCCAAGCAGCGCACGGCTTGAAGATTCATGTTAGACTTTAAGACTTTGAGCTCAAGTTTCTACTGTTTGAGCATAAGAAATTTGATAGTTGAGAACCGACATTCATACTTGACAAATGACAATAATGTCAGTCAGTAAAGCAGGATTTAATTAAATCTGTTGTAGTCTGTTTAATTGGTAATCACATATAAATTATATTATACAATATTAACGGTTATCATAATTTTTAATGCCGTTAAAAATGTACCGGTGACAAAATTTCCATGTTGGGCAGTGTGGATGCTGCTGTTTGCAGCTATACGTAAAAAAAAGTTTGTTACAAAGTACACACTGTTTCTTTTTTGAAAGACCACATTTATCAGGCTGAGAGTGCTGATCTAGGATCAAACTCTGATCATGCTGTTCTGTTCCTTAGAACAATGTAAAGCTATTTCAGCTTTACAGTGCAGCTGTTGGATACATTTCTTTTCTGTTTCTAGCTCCCATCTAGCCTGTGTTCTCTGTGGAGTGGTGCTAGATTTATTGCACTTTCTCCTGCTTTGTGTTTGAAGTGGCACGGCCATGTGGTTTCTGTCTCTCTTTATCTCAGCTCTGTCCACCTACGACCCAGAGCGCAGAGTTCTTCAGCCGAACGTCAGCAGAGGATCAAGCAAATGCTCGCCTCACAGCTGCTCCTCAGCCAGCCACCACTGCTGCCCCCACCAAATCTGGCCCCACCCTTTTGAAGGTGAGCCATGCGCTTGGGTGATGTAATTTCCTGCCAATGTTTTTCTCTCCTCACCTAATGGTCAGTGACTCAACAGTGTGCAGGAGGTCTCACTGTCAGTTTTAACTGAATGATAAATAGTGTGGGTGAATAAAATACTTATCTGGAGTACTAATAACCTTTGGCCACGTCTACTTTATATGCTGTGGAACTTCACTGTTACAAGAGGTAAGCTGGAACTTGTCAAAGTCAGTGCATTAATAATGCATTAATGCTATAAATTATTAACACCACTCACTTTTTTAACACATTGCCCTCGTTTGACCTTTTGAACTATCAGTAGTTGCACCCTGAAAACCACCTTGTTGCTATGACTTATGACATCAGTGACTTTCATGATAAACTTACGTACAGCTACTGCCATGCCATGAGTTTGTTTATCATAGTAGATCGCCAAGTCCAGAGTATCATTTATAAGCCAAACACAGTGCTGATGCCGGCAATACCAGTATTATCAGTAACACTGGCCCCAAAGGATGCCTTCGCAGACTACATCTGACAGTGTTCAGGGGACAGCTAAGAAAAAATAAACAAGGAGCAAATTAACAAAAGCAACAGGAAACTAGAAAGCTCAGTTTCCTCTTGAAACAAGATGTTACATAGTCGTATGAGAACAAGAGGCTACAATCATGGAGGAGGTGGAACATAAAGCTGCTGCTGCTCTTAGGGATGAAAGATTTATTTTTTATATTGAATCGTAATGTAAAAAATCCAGTTTTCAAATTGCAAAAGCAGCAATTTTCATTATTGCCTTCATTATCACCAACTTTATCTTAATGACTTTTAAGTGGGAAAATTCAACCCAATAAATGAAGCTTGTAAAGTACCCGAAAGTGAGCCAGACCAATTAGAAGCAGCCAAAACCAGTGTGCTGTGTACATGACAACCCAACCACAACTAAGCCTTAAGCCAGATTTGCTGGTTTTCTCTGCAAAAACAGGCCTGGATCTTTATTTATAGAAGATAATTGCAATTTTAATGCACAGTTGATTGATCAGAAAAATCGCAGTTATATATTTTCTTTAGGCCTAGTTGCTCTCACTGAATGTTAATGATAAAAATTGGAAACTGCATTGAAGCCTTTTTCTTCTGGCTATAAAAAACAAGCTGCTTTTTAAATGTAAATGTAGCTTTATTTAGGTTCAAGTTTGGGAAAATAAGACAAATGTGATAAATTGCAATTAACCCCACTAACTAATGCGATTAATCACATTTGTGACTTATGTTCAGGTTCAAGTCGACTCATTAAAGGTAATAAATATATTCTGCTGAAGGTTATTTTACACTGCTTTTTAAATGGAGAATACCCTTCTTTAGGGTCAAATTAGAGCAAATAAGATAGAGGAGATCAATCACGATTGACTACACAAAGAAAAGCAATTAATTGCGATTGATTATTTTATAATTATTTGACAGCCCTAGCTGGAGAAAGCACACTCTGGAGTGATTCAGACCAGACTGTTTTACATTGGTCCTTCCAGTACACGACCTTTCAAGAAACCAAAATATGATTTGGTTGTTCATGCAAAGCCAGTGTATTTTGGCTGAAACCATTTGTTCTCTTCATGTACTCCAACATTAGAGGCAAACCTCAAATGCACATCAAACACTGATGTTTACCTAAGATTTGAATCTGTTCAGATTTATTTTACAAATCAGAGAGATGTTTTCCTTTCTCAGCTGAACAATCTTTTCTTTACAGCTCTGAAGATAATCCTAAACATGAACTTCACCTTTTGTGATTTGCCTCCTTTGATCTGGCTTGCTCACTGTAAAGCTGTCTTTACGAGTACAAATAATGGTAAGACGTCCTGGGAGGACTCTGGAGCAGAGGACATTGATACAAAACAGTGTGTCACAATGAGAGCAGACTGAGAATGAGACTGTGTCCCTGTCAGGGGCACTTTAGGCCAAAGCAAAGGCTGAAAAGACTCAAATCTGGGGACAGCAGCAGCTGTCTTCTATCTTCTATTGGAGGTTAAATGAAATGCTCACTCTCATTCTACAGCTGAAACTGATGAAAGCGCAGGCCCACAAACCAAGAACGAGGCAATAACTTGTGCATTTATCATAATCCGTACCCTCAAAGCATATTCCACATATTTGTTCTGAGATCCATCCCTCCCTCCCCAGGGAGTGAATCTGAGCGTCCGTGTTCGCATAAGCCTGCCTGAAATGACGTTATTACAGCTCAGTGGCTTTTGCCTCCCTCCCTTAGATGCCAGAACCATTTTCATGTGTATCCTGTAGCTGAACACTTCAAAAACAATGAGGGTCATGTTCCTCCCCCCCTACCATACATCCTGTTTCCCCATCCTGTCATTTTAGGTGGGTGTTGACTCGCGGCCCACCTATTCACCAGCCAGCGCTAAAACGGCACGGCTTCGCCCACAAATCTCTCAGTCGAGGGCTGCAGTTCAATGCTGACTGCGTTGTTGCCACTGGCACTTAATCAATCAGACCGTGCTTAACTGTGTGATTCCAGGTGTGCTTTGGATAGCGGCCTTCCTAACTCAAACCTGCCCCCACCCCATCCCCCCTTCTTCCCCTGTTTCAGCAAAGTCAGCCCAGGCTGCCCAGCGAGAAGAGCCGCAGCAAAAAGAGCAAAGAGCCCAAGCCGAGGGTGAGGAAGCTCAAATACCACCAGTACATCCCACCAGACCAAAAGCAGGAGCCCAATGAGGCCCCTATGGACTCGGCCTATGCCCGACTGCTCCAGCAGCAGCAGCAGTTCCTGCACCTTCAAATCCTCAGCCAGCAGCAGCAGCACTACAACTATCAGGCCATCCTACCTGCGCCTCTCAGGTGTGTGGTAACTCCAACAAATACAGCACTGAAGTCCTCAAGGCACGAATAAGCCTTCAGCCTAAATGAATGCTAATGCTAATGGAGCTAATGCCGATGCCAATGTGTGAGATTTTACAACAGCTAATAAAATGGCTACCAAAACTTCCAAAGCTCTTAAATAATAAACACATATGTGTACATTGACCGGCCACTTTGTTGAGTATGCCTACCATATATGTGTGTGTGTACCTTGTACACTCTTTGTCCATTTTATCATGTCCATTTACCACATAGGTGCACTTTATACTTCTCCAATTACAGACTGTAGTCCATCTGTTTCTCTGCATACTTTGTTAGCCCCTTTTTACCCTGTTCTACACTGGTCAGGACCCTCACAGAGCAGGTGTTATTTGTGAGGTGGATCATTCTCAGCACTGCAGTGATGCTGATGTGGTAGAGGCATGTTAGTGTGTGTTGCGCTGGTACGAGTAGTTAAGACACACGTGCCTTGTTGGAATAAGAAGTCAACGTCAGTCCAACATCAGAGTGGCACAGTAAAGCTGTAATCAGCCTCTGGAGCTGCTAGATTGCTGAACGCATCTCATTGGCTGATCTAAGCTGTGTCCCAAACCATGCACTTCTATATCTACCATTCTAATGAGTGTGCTTCTAATGGTACTGCACTATTTTTACATACTATTAGTGTGCTAGTATGCTGTTTGGGACACAGCTTAAGTAACACAGCGTGAAATCTCAACCATTTAGATAATTACAGCAACAAATCAAATAAAATTAAGGCAGTACACTGAAATATATTTGTTAATATGCTCTAAAAATGTAATTAAAAAAATAAAAACAAAATGTGTTTTACTGTCTTTTGCGGGTAACGGTTACAGCTTTGATATCTCGTAACAAACCGCCACTGTGTTGCAAAAAATTAACTTGCGGTTGCCTAACAAAATGGTGGCTGCATCATTTCATGACGTTTTTGGAGTATTATGAATTGCAAAGTGGCTCGTGCTTAAAATTTTTTTGATTAATAATAATGTTAGTCTTTTTGCGTAAATATTGCATTTACATCACTCTGTTTACTGGAACTCCTGCCATTGCTCACAATTAAGAAAAGAAAGAGATTGATTATTTCAGCTACAGTTGTTATATAACACAGAGTGGAATGCAAACACGGCAAGTGCTGATTAATGGTTGCTGAATGCCAGTTTCTCCTATCAATCTGGCCTAACAGAATGTGTCAGCGCCTCGGCCCGAGCACGGCAGTTCCTCACATTTTTGTGCTCTCTGGCCCCTGTTTGTGCCAGATGAACTTCTGCTGCTATTGTCTGAGACGCAACTTGTTGATTGTGAATGATGAGAATACAGGAAGTTCCCCCTTTCATTGGACCCCCCCAACCCACCCTCCTCTGTTTCTCTTTTGTATACTGCAGGCCTGTAGCTGAGGCTCAGAGCAGCTGCCCTAGTGTGGCCCTGGGCAACAGCCAGGCTCTGCCTGCTCCGATTGTAGTGTCCATGCCCAGTGCTGCACCTACACGCCCCAACCATGCCATGAACAACCGAAAGCCTGGCCCTCTGCCTGCCAACCTGGACGAAATGAAGGTGCGTCCCACAGTACTCTACCTTTCCTGCCTGCATGGTGTACATAGGTGCTCACTGCATTTTGTGAATGATAATTTCCAGGGCAATTAAAAAACTACACTACAAACTACACTAAGCCATTTTTTCAGATTTTTTTTTTTAGTTTCAAAAATATTTTACAGTTTTGAAATCTAGTTTGATCACATGATGCACCGACATGCAGTTGACATATAGTGACAAAATACTGGTAAATGGCTTTCATCATCCTAGTTTATAACTGACCTTTATACTGAAGCGTTTTGAATTGTTTACAAACTAAATTTAAAGGGCAGTGCTACTAAAAGTTCATAATTTCTGCATAATTGAATAGGTAAGAGTCATTTAGAGTGGTTTGATGTGAAACAAAAGAATGGAACAATATTTTTTGTTTGTTTGTTTGTTCCATTCTATAGAAACTTCTGGAGAGTCAGAATTGTTCAGTTGTGTGATGATCGGAACCAGACATCTTTAACACCTCTAAAAGCTACCTCATAGAAAGTTATCAAATGAAATGGTTGCAAATACACTGCCTGATGCCAGAGACATTGTTTTTCAATAGTTTTGGCTTATATGGCTGTATATTTGGCTGTATATTTCTTTTAATATGTATTCAGGGCAGAGATGTACATTTTAAGGAAAAATACTACACTATGTTACCATCATCAGCATTACTTATGAACTCAGAAGACATGTATACGTTCACTGGTCATTTTGGATAGCAGGCTGTATTTGCATTGTACATATTGTGACCGCTGGTTCCTGTGAGCACCACTGTAAAGATATCTTCATACGTTTAATACGACTGCATCTTAACAATTGAATTACGCAGAAATTTTGAAAAAAAGGTGGAATTCCCTCTTAACACACCTGGTTCAGTCGTAATCAAGCCTTCAGGACCATCTGGATGTGAGAATCAGTCAAATATGGTCAGGCTGTAATAAAACTGGGAAAAAATAGAAGTAATCATTAGGATAATCACCAGGAGCAAAGAAATTACAATCAGTTAATTGCATGCCATTTACAGTCAGACCATCTATGTGATTTCAGAATAACTGAGATAGTTTGCATTGTTTTCCATGTAATTAATAAATAATAGCCCTTAGGAAGTAATGAGTGGAATATAAGGGGTTAGGTAACATATCAGTATTTATAAAATTTTCATGTTTATTTTATACCAAGTTAGTGTTGCTTCTAAACTTTTGGCCTTCAGTGTAATGTTGCACATTACTGCAATATTATTTGCTAGCAAGTGATAATTAATGATAATATTAGAAAATGATGTATTTTTGGTCAAGCTGTACCTTTGATCAAATGTGCTGTGTTCCCACAGGTGGCTGAGCTGAAGATGGAGCTGAAGCTACGTGGCCTTCCTGTCTCTGGCACCAAGACGGACCTCATAGAGAGGCTGAAGCCCTACCAGGAGAGCGCCTCTGCCACCACCACCCAGCCAGCTGCAGCTGTAGACACTATCGCTCCCCCAGCCAGCCAGCAGCCTGACAGCATGAGCACAACTCCCCCTGTGTCTCCTGCGCAGTCAGAGGTGACCACTGCCCCTATGGAGGAAGCTGTAGGGGACAGCAGTGCTAAAGCAGCGGCAGCCCTACCTCCAGTTCGGCCAGCAGCAGGTTCATCACCCCTGAGGGCAGAAGACATGGAGACCAAAGTGTCTGATAAGGACCAGCGGCTCCACGAGAAGGAGCGGCAGATTGAGGAGCTGATGCGCAAGCTGGAGCAGGAGCAGCGTCTAGTGGAGGAGCTGAAGATGCAGCTGGAGGTGGAGAAGAGGAGCCAGCAAGGAGCAGCAGCACAGCAGAATGACCCCAGCCCTCCAGCCCATATCAAAGAGGAGCGTGATGCCTCCCCCAGCTGTGGCTCGATGCATGGTCCCATGCCGGTGTCCCCAGCTGGGCTGAAACAGGAGGAACCCCAGGCACAGGTGCACATGGCCCCACTGCAGCAGTTTTATATGAGCCCTCCACAGCAGCTGCCCCAGACCACCCTCACTGCTCAGCCAGGCCCCCATATCCTGCTGCCCACTACCATGCACCTGACCAACAAGTCCACCACACCACAGGTCACTCTGCGCCGACAGGCCCTACTCACTTAATTCACAGTTCATGTAATAGCAGAATAAAAAAATGAATGACTAAAGAACTAATGTCACAGAACATTCATTTTTTGCAGAACGCAATCAGTAACTTCAGAGGAGAAAGATTCATTTTAAAATTTGGTTAATAACATTATTTTATTCCTTCTTGTTAAACTGTCATTGATTGAATGCAGCGGTGATTAATTTGGTGTTATTGTTATTTTGTAGGGAAATTCCACATGATTTTTTTAGAATTTCTCATGATTAGTTATAATGTAAATAAAGTTATTCAGAGTAGTTTGGTGTAAAATGCACCATTCTAGGGAACCATACAGAGTCAGAATTGTTCATAGCAGATGTCTAAAGAGCTTAATGCTTTGTTTTTACATGAAATGTTTACAGATATGGTCCCTGATCCCTAAAATGTTTTATGATAGTTTTGCGATAAGGTTTTGGCCTAAAACATATATTTTTCCGTTCATGTATAAAACATGCATTTTTAAGTTGGAGAGGTAACTGCAGTGAGTTATAAGGCAAAGTAGTCTCCAAAGAAATATATATATTTTTTATAAGATTTACTGCTATTTTATCTTAACCAACATTACATATAAAATGTGTAGGTTCACTGGTCATTTTGGCTAGTAAATATAATGCCTGTATTTGCATTATAAACTTTGAGACACCTGGTTCTTATCACCACAACTGTAAAGAAATCTGACTTAGTTTTTCTACAATGAACTATTTCATATCAGACCACTCTGAATAATTTTTTTACATCTCAGTGATTTAATTATGTAGCAGTGTTAAAAAATGAGTGGAATTGCCCTTTAATAGGCCTAATATACACACATATATTGAAACAGCGTTATTAGTGTTTGTTTTATTTCATTTAGTTCAAAGGAAGCATTAAACACTGGAACAAAAACAAAAAAAAGTGTTTCTATTTGGAACAAACCAAATAATAATGTTAGTAACCACTTAATCACCTTTTAAATTAAAATAGTCAAAGTTTTTTTTCATGTTTTCAGTTCTATTCTGTTCATGTACCATTTCAAATCTCCGATTTGTTGTAGTATTTTATGAATCCTTTTCTTTTATGTACAGACACAGTCAGTTCTTCAGACCACAGTGTCTGGCTCAGCCCAAATGCAAACTCCGCTCCTGAAGCCGTTGAAAACTGAGAGCACAGCATTTCAGCAACATGCAAATCAGACACAAGCCACTCCACAGGTAAGCATGAACCATCTACCACAATGCTTTGGGTAGTTAAAATTGGTTTTATTTAATTTTTTTGGTACATGCCTCTTTGACTTTTCATTTCCTGGAATCACGTCAGTATAATGGGCTATTGTAGTTTTATTTTCCCAACCTTTCCTCTTGCGCTGAATTTCCACCACACTTCATAAATCCACTTCGGCCTGCTCGCCCAATGACGGGGCCCAGTCCCATTTCTCAGTGCCTTGGCTTGGACCCCAAAATGGAAAGCTTCTCTCCTGATCCCGGACTGTGTTCCCCACTTATCTCCCCCATTGCCAAGGCAGTGGCAGCTAATGTCAGCTGATGAATTCCTCTTCTAGTAGCGTTAAAAACACTGGCCCTGGCCAGGCACGGGAGCTAGAGCAGGTGCCGAGTGATGAAAAGGTGGCCCACTGTAGAGCTCTGCATGCTAGCCAGTCTCTCAGAATGTGCTTTTCTCACACACACAAACCTCACTGTATTGTTTCTGTTCCCAGACGATGCCACTGTGCAGCGGCTCAGGCTTCCAGCCAGGCCAGCCCATGACTGAAGTTCCCCAGTGTTTCATTAGCAGCTCCCAGGAGTCCTGCTCACCCAGAGTCTCTCCCAGACACTCAGCCATGAATGGACTCACCAAAGTAAGGCTCAATTATTTATTTTTTTAAGCTTCCCAGAAAAAGTGATATAATAACCAATTTCAGTATCGTTTTATGTTGTATAAAAACGTAGACCTATAAAAATGACAGTGTGTAATAATACAGTGTAATGCAATGATCATTGTATTGTGTCTAGCATTTTAGCTTCTGACTATTGCATTTACTCAGGTTTAACATATTAGCTCATGGTTAGTGCATTAGATCAGGGCACTCTGAACAGTTTTTGTTGAGTGTTTCTACACTACTAAGAAACTTTTGTTCTATCGTGCCCTTCAGCTCAATGAAACCTCAATGAAAAGGTTTGTGTTCTCTTCTCCTCTGTTTTAATCATTTTCATTGTTTCTTTTCTCTTCATCTGCATTAGCCTCCATCCCCTTGCCAGCCCACCTACATCCTTCCACCCTCTACATTCACCAACCACCACAGCCCCAAGAGCAAAGACCCACCTCGCTATGAGGAGGCGGTCAAACAGACAAGAGCACTTCAGGCTACTCTTCAGGTAATGTTGAGATCTACAGCATTGAGGTACACCTAAGATACAGATTAATGTGTCTCACTTTATCAGGGATCTTACACTTTGAACTCTTTTGTTTCCCCAAGGTTCCCACTGCAACCAGTCAGCATATGGATGACTTGTTCGACGTGTTGATTGAGAGTGGAGGTGAGGACAGTTATTCTATCTGAAAGGGTTTTTGTTCACCATCAAACAGCCATTGGGTTAAAAACAGTTCAGAGCAAACCAGAGGTGGTACAGAGTGTCTAATGAAAGTATATGAAAGTTTAAAAAGTATAAAAGCACATTTCTATAGGACTGTTTAAAAAGGGTTGTGGAAAAAGGCTAAAAGCCTTTAGGTTGTAGTAATTATGTTGTAGCTAGAACATCACTGGTTTCACTTATCTGCTGTTTTGTTCCATCTTCTTGTCCTGTCCAGAAATCTCCCCCCTGATCAGGCAGGATCCTCTCTCAGGGGACAAGCTCCTGCCCGTGACAGCCAGCATTACTACGCTTCCCATCAACACGGCACTGTCCCGGCCTCCGCCGCAAGTCCAGATAGCCCACCCACCTGAGCCTCCACCTAGCCTGGTTGCGCTGGCCACGGACCACCAGCTGGAGGCGCTGCTTGAGGGCACGTTGTCGGCCGACGCAGAACCCCGCACTTTACGTCTGATGGAGGAGCTGCACAGCCACCTGCTGGAACGGCCTCATTCTCCAATGGACACAGACGAACTGGCCTTCTCCGACTCCCCACCCCCGTCCCTCCACCTGAACGACACCAACCTGGACAACATGGAGTGGCTGGACCTGACAGCGCCCGGACCCACAGGCATCTCCGCCTCCACTGGAGTCTTCTCCTCTGATTTCTTGGACTCTCATGACTTAAACTGGGACTGAAGAGAGAGCTTCTGAAGTGAACCATGGTCCAGGTAGACAATCAGGGGCAAAAGTTGAATTGTCTAAGTTTCAAGAATCTCAAGGGAACACTTGTGGAGGAGGAGAAGCAGAACAGACAAGAAGGAGATACCATTGGCTTGAAGAGAGAACAGAGGGAAGGAATGGACTAGTGGCCTGGGTTTAAATGATTGCAGAACTGGGTGGTGGTCTGCCGGAGGTTGTAGATACGGCTGAACGTCTGTTAATGGTTCTCTGGACATCTAGGTCATAGACATTGATCATGAGTGCTTCAGTTACTGCTCTTTTCATCTGGGCCTGATAACCGTGGTCAAAAACCAGGTATTATGAACACCGCTGACTATCTTTCAAGACAAAGAAAGAATGTGGGACATTTTGTAAATTATTTTCCAAGCTTCTCAAGTTAGTTTTGTTACTCTGTTTTTCACATTGCTTTGGCAGCTTTCTTATAACATTTGAAGAATGTTTTAGAATTACGGCTTAGCATGTTTCCTTAAAAAAAAAAAAAAACACAAAAAAACAGATTCTGTTACACTCCGTTCTAAGGAAGCTGAGGAAATGAGATTAGAAGTAAATGGCACTATTTATTTTTGTGCCTTTATTATGAACCATGTCCAGAAACAACTAATTATTGTTTGTTAACAATGTAGCCAGCACATGGGCATTTATACAGAAAATGTGGCACCTAGCCTTTTACATTAGCATCATCTAGTCCCTCATTTGGCTTTGAGGGAACCCTGTCATTGAAACTTAAAATGCCAAAGCACTGAATGCATCCTCACTGGTTCTTTTTCTGTGAATGCCATAGGCTTCTGGTTTGTAGCAAGTCAGAGAGGGCAAGCTAGAGAGAGAAATCTGTGCCAGCGTGACCCTCAGTTTGTCAGACATACAGTGCTTCAGGCGACCAGCGAGCATGTCCTTCTGGAAGCCAGCGTGTGGACAGGGGATGGGTCACAGTGAGTTTGTTTACCAAAGCCAGCATGAGGCCACTGTACAGAGAAGCGCATAGTCTACTGCTCCCACAGGCTTGCCAGGCCATTATCATCACGGACAAAAGGGAAATAGAACAGCATCGCCCTAACCTCCACCTTTTTTTGGGTGCAGAGGGCACTCACTCCACCATACATTCAGCTGAAACCAGTATTCATGGCATTGTGTGTTTTGAGCAGGACCCACATTTACTGAGCATCAAAACTGTGTCTGCCAGCATTTATGAGAGCAGAAAGTAAATAATTAGTGCACTTGTGGAAAAAGCACTAACGGTTTTATGAATTTGGCATGAAGGATGGGCTGCTAGTGTTATTTACATGCTGATGTAGAACTAGGAAGATAGGTAAGCCTGGGTGATGTGACTTTTGTTTTATGCTTCCAACTGAGATGTGAAGGTGTTAAATATAAAATGGCCTTCAGCAATCTTATCACCCTAACCGCATCAAAAAATGCCTTTGTACTGTTACTTTTTGATAAATGTGAAAATGGCGACACCTTCTGGCAATACTGAGAACTGGCAGCTGAATGATTTGGAGTGAATTGTTCTTTTTGTGCATCTTTTTAGATACACTGTGTAATTCAGGATTTAGCTTTGATTTGGCTTGGCAGCTGTCCGGGCACATTTGCAGTGCACTGGCCATGATCCGTTGACTGAAAAGGCCACTTAAGTTCCCCAGGGTTTCTTGATAAGTAGTGCCAAAAATGTAGCACTTTACCTAACTCTAGAATACATTTACTGACAATCATTTCACTATTTTACCACACCCTCAGACAAAAGAATGTATTTTATCACTAAAGAGATATAATTCAGCCCTTTGCCAAAGATGGAACGCTCTTTAACCAGGCACATGTAGCTTTTTATTTGCTGCTTTCTCATTCAGTCATCAAAAATGTACATTCATGGAAAAGTAAAGCCTTTCAAAAAGAATTACTTTGTGGAAAATGTTAACAGGCATCAATGGCTCTATCACTAACTAGATCATCCACATGATGGATTTAGTTCAGACTCCTCTGTAAACTTTTTTTTAAACAGTGTACATTTGCATTTCACTGACTTGATCTCAGATCTCAGATTTTTGCATGCTATTGATAATTCATGTTTTTGTGCACATTTACACCATCAGCATACAATGAATAGCTTCACACTTGGTGCTGACTGTTGTCTAGTCAGTGCTACCTGTCTTAATCACACAGTCAGGGATGTTATAGCAACTTCATGACGGCCTTAGTGAAATTCTGAAGTATAGAAATAAAAGAGTCAAATAGTCCTCTGAATGTAAGAACCATAGACAATTCCAAAACTACACCAATAAGCTGTAAAGCAGGTGCTGCTGTTTATGCTTACAGCTGAAGAATTGTAGATAGAAACATCTACAATTTTAAACCAAATTTTATCTGCAAGGTGTACTGTTCAGTAGGAATATAGCATACAGCTGAGGCTTTAAAGGGGAATTACACAGACTTCTTTATTTCTGCATAATTAAATTGATAAGATGTAAGCAATGTCACTCAGAGTGTTTCAGAGTGGATGTGAAGATGGCATTCCAAAGAAATGCCAAGTCAGAATCTATCACGGTGGTGATGATAAGAACCAGAGTTTTTACCAAACACATTGTTTTACAGTAGTTTGAAATAAAGTTAGAGTCTAAAACATTTAAATCTATTGATGGAAGAGAGGTTCATTCTGGGCATTACACTGCAAAGTAGTACCCACAGAAAACCTATGCTTTTAGGACTTATCACAGATTTATCATTATCAGCATAAGATAAAAACTCAAAAGACATGTCAGTTCACTGCTTGTTTTGGAAAGCAGATATAATGGCTATATTTGAGCTGCAGACATTGTGACCCCTGGTTCCTGTCACCACTGCTGTAAGGAAATCTGCTGTACAGTGGACCATTTCCCACCAAACCACTCTGGAGAATTAAATTATGCTGAACATTTGAAAAATCTGTAAAATTCCCCTTAAGTCAGAGATCAAAAAGATCTGCTAGATACACTGTTAACTGGTTACATTTAAGGCAGTCTTCATCCTAACCCAGAATCTAGTGTTAGATTTCCCAGAAGTTACAAAATGTGCTTTAAAACAATATAAAAAGCAGCCTTTGAAGTCCTTGACCTGCAATAGATGTCAGAGTTGATGTTAAAATTGCTGTTGATATAATTACATATGCCATTGGAAGTGATTACATATCCAACGGTCTTTGACCCTGATGTGTGAAAACTAGTACATGCTGGAAAATAGGGAATTCTTTTTCAACCTTTGTTGATCTTTGCCATTAGTGTCTGACCTGGTAGACTGTAATACCATATCTTTTTGCACGGTGTAAATATTTATTCATTTTCTACAAATGCAGCACAGCACATGTGCAGCTGTAAATAATGATGTTTGGAGTTTCCTTTGTACATATCATTATTGTATATACAGCCTTTCGTGTCATTAAAATGTTTGTGTACTTAAAACCCAAGAGACTGTTTCTATAAGAGCACTGAACAGTAGTTTCATCACTTTGTTGAAAAAAATCCTTTGATGACTAGCTTGCTAGCTGAATATTTTGAATATTGTGACCATATGCAAAAACCTTCTATCTCCTGGTTTTTTTGCATAATATGAAAACTAGTTACCCTTTGGACTGTTGAATTTTCATGATAAATGACCAAAAGAAATGATCCAAAATGACAGGGAAAAACATTCTTACGTTTTTGAGTTATTACTATTTGAGATCCAAAGTTTTGTTCCAACAGCAACAATATATAAGCAATGTTTTGATCTATGTTTAATCTAAATTCATATATCAATTCTAGTCCCCAAGATTCCAAAAGAAAACTTCCAAATTCTCATATTTGTCAGCAAAATTAAAAAAATGTCCGCAAAAAGGTTGAGTTTCAGGAAAAATAAGACGCTGGATGTTGTCCAGTGTCCTTCAGTTAAGTGTCTGTTGCTTGATTGCACTATTTTTGTTCCCATCAGTGAGTATTAGAACCTCTGTAATCCCAGCACAGACCGAGCAGCAGTGAGACCTGAAAGCTCCACTGCTTTTTAAACTATGCTTCCACTTACTGAGGATTTGTTTCTTTCATAGAGGGCAGTGGAGCTTTTATCCACAAGTCACAGAGTCTGCATTAGTCTTTGCTCCTTTGACGCCATCACATCCTTGTTGGCAGCAAATAAAATGGACTCGGACGGCTGGACAATAAGGCTGGTGTTCTTTCCTCCAAGAGGATCCCTTCTTCCATCCTTCACATCTTTTTGCATGTGTGAATCTGACTGCGACACTTGGGGCACTTGTGCACAATGTCTTTGAAGGAGTCCATGCAGAAAGGGATGAGACAGCAGCCAGCTATGCAACTAAACAAGAATGAGAAAGAAGATAAAACACCTATTCTGCACTCAACAAGCATCACAGTGTCGTTTAGCTCTTAAATGCCTTAAAGTAATAGTTTAGGGGAAAATCCACTACCAAGCCACTACCAAACCTTAAACCTTTTTTAACTTTTTTGCAAACACTGAAGTTCCTGCTAAAGCATGTGATCAGTGGGATGAGCCAGTTATTTATCCCAGTATTACTCAATAGTGGACAAGTTTACAAGTGTTAAGCTTAGCATTGGTGTTGTACTGGACACATCCATGGATTTTGTAGCATGACGGTACAGGTCATAAATTGAAAAATAGCAACAATTACCTGCTTTCAAAGTCAAATTTGCAAGATTTTGTTATTGGGATATGGAAAATTGATCTAGAAAATATATTGTATATAAATATATAAATATATTCTATATAACATATAAATATATACATTTATATTATTTTTTTCAATAGGGTGAGTTTAGCAAAAGTGGGACAATATGCCTTTGACGATATGTACAGTGTGGTCCAAAAGCCTGAGACCACTAGTGTATTCCTTTCTAATCTATTTTGTATTGCTTTCTAATGTAATTTTAAAAAATCATCACAACTTCAGTGAAAATCATATGAATTTCAGAACTTCTTAGTAGTTAGTAAATCGTCTGAACATGTCCTTCAGTGCAAGGGATAAGACTAAAGACTTTGTCTGACTCATCTCACCCCTCTCTGAGTTGCATAATATTTATATAAAAAAAACAAAAACAAGAAAAGTGTAAGATTATCAAATTAAATACAGTTCCCTCCACAAATATTGGCACCTCTGGTAAACATGAGCAAAACAGGCTGCGGAAAACATTCTTTACTGCTTATCCTTTTGATCTTACATTCAAAATGTTAACAAAAGTCTAAGTTTTATTCGAAGTACAAAATTAAACCCTAAATCTTATCATGAAGTAAATATTTTTTCTTAAATCTGTGTGTGCCACAATTGTTGGCACCCTTTCATTTAATACTTTGTGCAGCCTCCCTTTGCAAACAAGAGTCTTCTCCTGCAATGCTTAATTAGACTGGAGAACAAGTGATCCGAGACCATTCCTCCATTCGAAATTTCTCCAGATCCTTCAGATTCTGAGGTCTACACTGTAGACTCTCCTCTTCAGACTCATCTCACAGGTTTTTAGATCAGGGGACTGGCGTTGCCATGGAAAAAACAAATATGTGGTCATTTGCGTTGATGTGCTTGTACTTGACATGTATCTAAATAAATTGCCATTCTCTGGTCTTTCTCACAGTGATGAATAACTAAGGGAATTTGGCATGTGTTTCATCTCATATACACTATATGCACAAAAGTACTGGCACACAACTTTTATTCACTGAATTCAGGTGTTTCATTCAGTCCCGTTACGACAGATGTATAAAACTAAGCACATAGCCATGCAGTCTGCCTTTAAAAACATTTGTGAAAGAATGGGTCGTTCTAAAGAGATCGCTGACTGGTACTGTAATAGGATGCCACCAGTGCAACAAGTTAGTTCATGAAGTTTCTTCCGTCCAAGATATTCCATGATCAACAGTGAGTGTTATTTTCAAAAAATGGAAGTGTTTAGGAACCACATCAACTCAGCCACGAAGTGGCAGACCACCTAAAGTTACAGAGCGGGGTCGCTAAGTGCTGAGGCGCATAGTGCATAAAAGTCGCCAACGCTCTGCTGACTCAATAACAGAGTTCCAAACCTTCTCTAGTATTACCATGAGCACAAAAACTGTGTGCCAGGAGCTTCGCGGCATGGGTTTCCATTGCCAAACAGCTGCATGCAAGCCTTACATCACCGAGCACAAAGCCAAGTACTGGATGGGGTGGTGTAACACATGTCACCACTGGACTCTGGAGCAGTGGAAATGTATTCTGTGGAGTGACAAATCATGTTCTCTATCTGGCAGTCTGACAGACAAGCCTGGGTGTGGAAAATGCCAGGAGAAGGTTACCTGCCTGACTGCATTGTGCCAACTGTAAAGTTTGGTGGAGGAGTGATGATGCTATGGGGTTGATTTTCAGAGGTTGGCCTAGGCACCTTAGCTCCAGTGAAGCGAAATCTTAATGCTTCAGCATACAAATTTGGAACATTTCTATGCTTCCAACTTTGTGGGAAGTTTGGGGAAGGCCCTTTTCTGTTCCAGCATGACTGTGCCCCAGTGTGCAAAACAAGGTCCATAAAGGCATGGCTGGGTAAGTTTGGTGTGGAATAACTTGACTGACCCGCACAGAGCCCTGACCTCAACCCCTCTGAACACCTTGAAGGATGAACTAGAACGGAGACTGCGAATCAGGTCCTCTCATCCAACATCAGTGTCTGACCCCACAAATGCTCTTCTGGATGAATGGGCAAAAATTCCCACAGACACACTCTAAAATCTTGTAGAAACCCACTTTTGCTTAGTTGATTGGACAGGTAGCAGTCCTGCTCGAAATACTGTGGAAGCAGTAGCTAAAAGCTACTTCTAGAAAAAGCTCAAGGTCGCTTCACAGGGCATCAGAAAACAGGACAACAAAGAAGCCAACTACGAAAAACAAAAATATCATAAAGAAAATCAGGGAGGATGTAAAGAAAAGCAAAACAAAACTGCAGAGATGTACAGTATTAACAAATTATGGCTATAATCTTCACCTGAGATCATAAGGAAATTAGCCTTATAGCTTTAATGCAAAACCACAGAACATATGGACATATGTTTTGGTTGGGAAACTATATTTGGTGCGAGGGGAAAAGCGTGTCTTTGTCACAGACAGAAGATAACTGAAAGGCAGACACAGTTTTGAACAAGGCCTCCTTTCATCACGAACCTTGATGAGAGATGTGGTTTAACAGAAACTGACTATTTGACCTTGGTATAGTAAGAAGCGTAAACAAGTGTAAACAAGTCACAATACCTGAGAAACAGTTCAAAATCTAACACGAGTTGTAACTGCAACTTAAAAAAGCTTTATCACAAGACAACAACTACTATTGTATATATACAATAAAGAAAACAATGATTTAATTTTTAATGATTTTAAGCCTATTTATGCGCTGTAGCGCCCTCTAAAGGCAAAACTACACCAAATTTTGCACATCACATTGGAGCCTCATTCTATGCAAGTATTGATAAGTCAGGTGATTGATACCTGGAAACCATGGTAAGCAAAAATATAAATAAAATAAATACACTTTTGCAGACAGAAGCTTTTTTTTTTATTTTATTTAGTTTCTTTCAAATTCTGAAATAGAAATTATGGGACTAGTTTGAAAAAAGTACTGTTTTTAAACAGTTAATAACAGTAAATAAATATGCACTTTTTGACAATGCTTTCAAGGAAATACCTGGAATTGAAGTTTTGTGTCCACAAGTGGAAAGGATAATGAAATATAACTGATTTAACTGTTCAAAACACAAACAGCACCCTCAAGTGTCTAATTATTTTGAAATTTCACAGGGTGAGAGAAAGTCCCCTCATAAAAATATCATCATGATTGGTCAATGTTAAGCCTGTCAAATGCATGCTGCAATAGTTTTCAAGCTATTAAATCATCCCTATGGATCCACTTATAACCTAGCTTGATTGGATATACAGATGCGAGAAACAGCTATTTAGCAGTTACAGGGCCCCTTAATGACATACATGCATCCAAATTGCTCAGTTTCATCAGAATCAGATTTGTCTGTATGCCTCTGTATGCCTGTAAGTGCACAGTAGCATCTCCTTCAGGCCAACTGGGTTCATCTCAGACACCTGAGTAGTGGGAGGGACTACTACCAGTCGACCAAGTTTCATGTTTGTATATATTTCACATATATTTCACGATTTGGTCTGCCAGATTCATTTTTAGGGCAGCACCAGAATAAGAAGAAACAACAAAATCCTAACCTTTACAATAGGTGGAAGCAAGTTGTAAACACAAAATGTGCCATAACATTTGCACAAGCCACATTTTATGTTTTATCTGTTCCCCAGTATGTTAACTTCAACAGATAAACAGTAGTTTTGCATTAAAATGTGCAGAGGTGTGTTTTCTATAGAGGGTGTGTTGACTTGTTTTTACTTAGGAAATGAACAAAACATTATTTAACCATGGTGGCCAAACGTTTGCATACAACTGTATATCAGGCAATATAATCACACTCACCATATGAAAGTACACACCATGCACACTAGCCAGGTTGTGTTCCCGGTGATGGTGCTGATCTCTGTAGTTATGTACTGTTCACAGAATGGGCACTGTGTCTGAGAGGCATGTGGAGGCAGTTTTTGTACATCCAGAATCACCTGAGGAGCTGAACCAGACACACATGCTGCCTTTAACTGTTGATATTTAACACTTATACAGATCTGCTGTTATGCAAATTGTACATATTCATAGAAACACAAAAAACAAGTACTACACATGTAGTATCCCAGGCTGCACGGAAATTTATATAAAATAACAAATAGTCAGACTTTAGCTATTTACAAGGATTATGATATGACCTATTTAAACTCAAGACATTAATTGAAATAATGAAACTCTAAAAGTATAAAAATCAACATTTATAGGGAACTTTCGATTGGGAGGTGGCTGTCACAAACCATAACCCATAAATTTCAACTAGTGAAAATTACTTTTTTTCAATGTTTTTTTTAAAGATTTAAAAGAGATTTTTTTATTTAGATCATTAGTTTAATTTTTAAATAAAAAAAACACTGAGTTTTAATCCATAGGCAGAGCTTTATTTTTGCCACACTCCTGCATTTTAGAGCAGGAAGTGAGACTGCATCCTTGTCTCTCATGGCCAGATCCCATTGTTTTGAAGTAAATGTGTCCTAAACCCTAAATTTCAAGCTGTGAAAATATTTACATTTTTTTGCATTTATTTAGATGTTTTTAAAAATATATTTTTGAAAAGTTAAAAGATTTAGGTTTTTCATGAGTTTAATGTTTTAAATAAAAATGAACTTTATTCAAAAAATGCTCTCATGTTTTCATGTCACTACCGAAACCGAGTTTCAGTTCATAGGCAGAGCCATATTTTGGCCACATTCCTGCATTTTAGAGCAGGAAGTGAGACTGCATCCCTGTCCCTCATGGCCACACGGTGAGCAGTTAGATATCATTGTTTTGAAGTAAATGTGTCCTCTAATCTGAAAATTTGTGTGTAACATTAAGTATTGTCACTACCGAAACCCATATTTTCTGCAATGTAAAGTTGTTCTGTGATTTTATATATAAAACTGTTCAAAGCTGTGTTTGCTTATCACATACTGGCTAACGTTATTGAAATGTGCTCTAAATGAGCTAAAATCGTCATTACTGAAACATTTAGGAAAGTTTCAGTAGTGACATCAATGCTCAATTATTTACTTTACTGTATAGTTTCCTTATTCTAGAAGACCAAAAGTAAATGAAGACTTCCATCCCAAATGCTGTATAACAGCTGATGTATAATATAAGTATAAAAGTAGTATTTTTCCCGGTCTAGCTAAGATATGTCTTTTAGATGTAAAGCCTACTCCCAACAACATATATCACGAAAAAAAGAAATTCTTCAAAGTGGTCTAAAATGTGTTTTAAAACAAAACCAGGCAAATTATGTCTTATAAACAATATTATTTGGTTACAAATAAAGTCAGTGATTGCCTGAAGTCTGTTACCATAAGATATCTTGTGTTTTCACTTTAGGAGCTTTTTGTGTTTGGTGAGTGAATGTTTTTTTTCTTGCTGTTGCCTTTAAATCATCAATACAGACACGTGAGCCAGTCCTACTAGCAGACAAACTTGCCTTCTGTTATGATACACGGATGAGGTGGTATGCTTTGGGTCATGGGGAATTTCTTTTTTCTCTCCACACTTTCTCCACCGCTCTGGTAAAGGTTACTTTTTGTCAAATCTGTCTTTTTATGTGAAAATTTCAACCAACTGTAACCTGACTTTTCTGTTTTTGAGGTTTACCAGTGGTTTACCATCATGTGGTGAAATCTTTGAGGTTGTGCTTGGATATTCTTTTCTTTTCATCTACGCATAGTATCCCTGAAAGCTGAAAAGTTTTTTTTCTTTTTCACTGGTCTTAGTACTAAACTAAGTGTATGTGGACTATATCTTACTTGTAAGTTTTGGTAATGTCAGAAAATGCCCTTGTGTTTCTGTAATTTTGTCCACTACCTGTAGAGAACAGACACTATCTGTGTCTTACCATAAATTACAGATGTACTGTCTAAATCTAATCATTTCTTTTCAAGATAATATTGTTGTGCTACATTACCAAGATACTAATGCATGTATTTACATAATAAACTGTTAGGTGTGCTAACCTGGAAAAGAAGGGGGTTTATCCACAAAAAATATTTGACTACCAAACGACGTAGGTGTGTCAGGTCCATCTAATGGTGCTGGGATAAAAGTGGCACCTATAAAACCAAACAAGAAGAGGTTATAGTAACACAGTAACGTTATCCTTGGTGAAGCTAAGAAAATGGCACAAGGCAAGTCTACACACATAAGCAAGCAAACAGCATAAAGAAAAGGCGTTACCTGTAAATTGTACATGATTGCGTTCAAGTGCGTCTTTCTTTGCTTGCAGTTCTCTCTTCCTTTCCGAAAGCTTCTTGAGTTCCTCTGCAATCTTTTCACATTCGTCTTGCTCAGTGGAGTCATCTCCTGGCAACAATGACAGCTAAGTCTTGAAACTTGAAGCAGACCAACTCAGATAGACACTACATCTATTAAATTCAGACACATCCTCAAGCTATTTGTATTACTTTCCATATAATTTAATATCACGCTCACCTTCCTCTTGAAAGCCCGCATTTTTCCGGAAGCCCTTCAACATAGCCAACAAACTCAGTCTGTCATTTAGCTGCTGTCTGCGCAACGACAGCTCATGTAGTTCTGAGCAGACTGATTCTAGTTGCTGCTCTTTCGATGGCGGAGGCATGACGAATGGTGAGGGAGATAAAAACGGTCCGCTCTATCCAACTATCCTAGCCCTGAAGTTCCCTCTGTTCATATACAGCCTTCTGGACCAGTTGCCACCTTAATAAACACTATTACATGAAGTCCATCAGCAGTCAAAACAGTCTTTCAGTGAGGCAAATTTGTATCTAACCCAAGTCTCCCGAGAACACAGCAACATATGAAGCATAAACAAAATACTCTTTATTACAAAGAAGCTGTTAGGTACAAAAAAACTGAATACTCAACCTGAGGAGATTCAAATGATCCATACAATGGTTCCATAAAAAGACGAGGATTGAAACATAAACTAATAATAATCAAAACACCAGAAGAAAAACCGAATATATAATTCAAAGCTCCTGATGCTGACTGTAGCCCGTGAAACAAGAGCGTGTTCTGTTGAAGCAAGGAAATGCACTTCATGTCACAGCACCAGGAACCAGGTTATAATATTTAAAGTCTGTGGTTGAAAAGCAGTCTGCATACTCCCATATCCATCCCTCTGGACTCCAGATTCTCAGCACAAGCAGAAGAATCTAAAAAATCCCAAACATTTTATATTACCACACTAAAGAAAAACACATTGAGAGACAAAAACAACACAAACTTAATATCAAGATTCAGTTTCTCATTAAGCTTAAGGGTTTGAATGTATAAATGATTATGCCTGGCTGGGCACAGCAAATGTTTGTATTTGCATCCATATGCAAATTTAATACTTACTAAATAAGTATTAACAAAAGCTCTCTATCACTGTCTCAAAATACATTTTGAATACTGCGTAACTAAAAGATAACTATAACTAAAAGATAACTGACACTTGAGCTGTGCAAATAGCTGTGTAAATGTCTGTCTCCCTACCTGCTCACAAGTGAACCACCTTCTCATTTCTTCCCCAGTTTCTTCATGAAAGTCACATCATCTCTGTTTCTGATTCCATAACTGTAAGAAAACAAACATACAATGTAAGTCTGTTTGCATCTGGTTCCACATTTATAGCAGTTTCTAATGCAGAGGTCTTCAAATCCGGACCTGTAATTCAGTTTCTGGTCTGGGATTTTGTAATCACTGGTAGTTAACTGAACTGTTGATGTAACTGATTGGCCACCTAGTTTCATTCCTGCCAGCGATTACAAAATCCAGGACCAGAAACTGGATCTAAAGTCCAGACTTGGAGATCTCTGTTCTTGTGCCTTGATAAAACACTATAACTTGGACTGATTTCTCTAGATTCTCTAGTAGTAGCATGCATACTTTGGTGGATTCAGATAAACAAAATGACCCTCAGACTCACTCAGAACAGCTTTGTCCACTTTCAAGTTCAAGAAAAGGGGCAGTATAAAAATTCAGGCAGATAAAACACTGCAGATAATAATTTTCCAAGGAGCTGTTTTTGAGCAATTAAGACTAAAGGAACTTAAAAAGATCAGCCACAGAGACCTGACCCCATCTTCCATGAGGCACTCAGTGAGCTTACACTAATGAGATATTTTGAGTGCAGGGATAGCATACATATAAACTTTCAAACAGGACTCCATTCAATAGCATCTCTTGATTTTTCATAGTTAGAGAGGGTGCCGATATGAAACTAAGTATTGGGCCAGTAACAGCAAGAAAATGGATGTTATATGTGTGATAAACAAATTTGAGCATCACTCAAACACTGAGATATAAACAAAGTAATTTAAAATGATTTGATGTATGACCGGGAGTCCAAGAGAGCATAACTAGCCTCGCTCTCTCTGGGTGGGTAGTATGGCGTCCCCCCGCCTGCCCCCAATACCCAGCGCAATGCCAGCCAGCGCAGGCATCTGTTAACTGACGTAACAGAACTGGCAGTTGAAAACTTTCCTCAGAGCCTGTTCTGTTGTCTAATGATGTTGTGTTAGTGGTAGTTCAAAAAAGATGCAGCAGCTGGCTTCACAAGTCTCGGAGGAAGCCTGTGCTAGCTTTCAGCCTCCTAGCGCTGGTGGTATCGTGTGACTGGGGGAGTCCTAACTAGTAGGTAGAATTGGATATGTCTAAATTAGGAAAGAAAATTAAGGGGAGAAAAGAAAAAAAGAATTTATGTAAATTGACGCACTGTGGAGAAACTTGTCGACTTGAATATCTCTACAGAACTGGTGAAGACAAGAACCAGGGGTCGCAATTTCTAGAACATAAATATAGCCATTTTATTTACTATCTCATACAACTTAATGTCTTAATGTGTCTTCTGAGTTTTTATATCTAATGCTATATCTAATGTTAAATCTGAAAAAAGTACTTTTTCTTTAGGTACTATTTTTCTATTCTATTTTTAGGCTATAGATTTCTTAAAACTATCACAAAACTATTTCAGAGGAATCAGGTATCATGTTCATAATCATTTTGTGTAATAAACACCTGTGCCTTTTAAATATTGACTTCTGAAAAGAAAACACAATATTCTGTAATTTTTACAAATTGATACGAAATACCAGTATGTAGAGACAATTTTACAAATTCATATTCATCATTCAAAAACACAAAGGTGCACCAAAAATTTATAACGTTTTCTTTCACTTGGTGTATATTTGCTATATGGACCATGCTACTGAACTGTTTCAAAGTCAGTACTGACTATTGTTTTAGTAGTGACAGAATGGAATATTCAATCATAACCCTACCCAAGCTTTACCAAATGTTTTAGGAGTGACTGTTTCAGTAGTGACAAGTTTAGCTAATTTTGAGCATAACTCAAAACCGCTAGCCAGTTCATTTCTAGCAAACACAGCTTTGAACAGCTGCATACACATTAATCATAAGATAATTAAAACACAAAACAGTTCACTTACTTGCAGAAATTTACTTTAAAACAATGGGATCTAACTGCTCACCATGTGGTCATGAGGGACAGGAACGCAGACCCACTTCCTGCTCTAAAATGGAGGGGTGTGGGGTGTGGTTCTGCCTATGGACTAAAACTCTTCGTGTTTCGGTAGCCACATGAAAATGTGGGACAGCATTTTTTTGAATAAAGTTTTTTTTTTTTGACTTTAAATCATAATATAGTCTGTGTAAATATCTAAGATCTGTATACTTAACTGTTTTTAATTGTAGGACCGCAGTTTAAAGTAATTTGGAAGAATATTCTGTTTACAAAATTCCTGACAACTCAGTTTGAGTACTGAAAGCTGTATCTTTAACAGTCACCAGTTGCTTTCATGACATGCATTTGTTTTTACTTACTCCTTCAATTTCCTTCTGTCATCTTCTAATCTTTCTCCATTAAAGACCAAATGAAATGTTCGCCACACATATTTCCTTAAAAGAGAAAAATAGATGTTAGAGACTCACACAAACCATCTATACTAAGCCAACATACATATTTAAATAAAAATTAACTTGTCTTACCAGCTGATGTGTTTAACACCTCCCTCACGCTGCTGCTTCAGCTCCATGTGCCGCTGAATGGCTTTCTTGAGATCCAGCACAGTAGCAGACTGCACCACCACAATGGCTGATGAAAAGTTAAATCCACTCCATCAGTAAATTGTAATAGTACAAGTCATATTTAACCATAATATCATTTAAATCAAAACAGGATCGTTGGATTATCGTATAAAATATCATAATATAGAGTAAGTAGTCATAACTGTATGCCCTTTAAAAGAATCAACTCACGCATGATCTCGCCATCTGCTTTACACACGCGCACAGTCATGGCTTGACCATACTCCAGAGCCACTTGGGAGTTTACCTCCTCCAAAGTGACCTACAAGAGAGAATGAAAATAACATATGAAAATACTTCGCAATTTTATCATTTAACTGATCCTTTGTAACATTAAGGGCTGTGACTTCAGCTTAGTCCTGGTCCACATCATATCTTAGCTCTTTTTTAAATTAAGCTATGCCTGAAAAATGACCTCAATCACAAACCTGGATTGGCAGGTCACACAGCAGAGGGTCCTGTACTATCAGAGCCAGTCCTTCTTCAAAGATATCCAAAAATTCAGAATGGGGCAATGCCTCTTCATCTTCCTCTTCTTGTTCTTCCTCCTTCACAGTTTCTTCAGTAACTTCTTCTTTCACTTCAGTCTCAACCACATTTTTTGTTTGTGTTTCTACCTGTAGTTCCTCATCCATTTTGGGCAATATCTCAGATGATTACTGATGATCTGGTTTTGTCATCTGAGGAATACAGTAAACACGATTCATATAAATTTTTACAAACATTTTTAAAACTGGGAAAGTTGGGTGAAATGTTTAATATACTATGACTTTGTATTGTCAAGCATGATAAAGTGCTTTAGAATTGCGATAGCACCAAAGACCAACTTTTCAAATCAGTGAAGATCATCAGACCATCAGAATCACCATCAGGTCGCTACTTCAGTAAGCTCACTGGCCACCGCATTAAGTACTGCTACCTTGTATTTACATACATTGTGGTAAGTGGACCTCACTGTATCGTTCACTTAATTATAGGTGCACTTTGTGGTTCTACAATTATAAATTGTAGCCCCTTTCTCTGTATAATCTGTTATCTCCCTTTACCCTGTTAATCAATGCTAAGAACCACCAAGGACCACCAGAGAGCAGATATTATTTGGGTGGCAGATCACTCTCAGCACTGTGGGGTCACTGAAACTAGTGAGTGTTGCGCTGGTATGAGTGGATCAGATATAGCAGTGCTACTGGACTTTTTACACACTATGTCCACTTACTAGCCACTCTATTAGAAACACCTACCTTGTCAGTCCACCTGGTAGATGTAAAATCAGAGACAACAGCTCATCTGTTGCTGCACAATTTGTGCGAGTCGTCCTCTAGTCCTTCATCAGTGGTCGGATTCTGGTCACAGAATGCTGTGTTTTTCTGGTTGGTGGACTATGATCAGTCCAGCAGTGACATTGAGTTACTTAAAAACTCAGGAAACACTCGTGTGTGTGGCCGACTCCCTACCGTGTCAGTGTCACTGCAGTGCTGAGAATGATCCCCCACCCAATCCAAAAAACACCTGCTCTGTTGGAGGTCCTGACCATTGATGAAGAGGTAAAGAAAGACTAATGAATCATGTAGGGAAACGGATGGACGAAAATCTGTAGCTAATTGTAGAACAAGTGCAGCTATATGGTAAGTGGAGCTGATAAAATGGGCAATTAAGGTAGATAAATATAATAAAGAGGCCAGTGAGTGTAAATGTCTGTAAAGTTAAGACTACACTTGTGAAACTTTTAACTAACCTAGCTAAGGGAGCTAAAATGACTACACTTTTGGGGGGAAAGCACATGTGAATGTGTCAGATTAAGAGTAAGTATATTACGTTATATTTTATTTCTGGCTAGGTAACGGCATGGCAACTTCTGTAAGATAATATACTTTTTCCTCCTTCGCGAATTCAGGAAAATTCTCCTTTCTACTTTTGAACTCAAATACCAACGGAAATGAATGCCTTAAAGGGTTTTACTACTCAGTAAAAGCCGACATTTGTGGCTAGTGACCAACCTTTCAACAAACACGAAGAACTTCGCCAGGCAGCCTTGCACGACTGACAACAGGTACACTTAACGTTACAGTTAACGTATTACGGTAAACACCAAAAATGTCATGTAGCCAGGTTAGATACTGACTGTCAATGCTCAGCTCTACTAAGGTCTCGGTCACTACCAAGAAATAGCTTATATTCAATTAGCATCTTATGTAAAAATCCCCACAGTGTAACTGCAGAAAGTGAACAGACAACTGAGCACGACCATAAACAACAGTGTCCCTCCTTTATATCGTCGGCAGGAAACTCAAAATAGTACAAATAGTGCCCTTAAACGGAGAAACTAACAAAAGGAATGGTGTGCGAATAAAATGATGTCATAACTTATTAAACATTCCTATATACATTATATTATACTGGCAAGACTGCAATTTAATAAAACAAGCCCTAAAAATATATTCTTATCTGTCTCATAGCCTTCGCGGTCTGCTTTGTTTCCTGTCGGACCCATTATTAGGGTACACTTTCTGAAGTACATGGTGAAAGCTGACAACAAGAAGTAACCAACTTTAGGAGGAAACATAAATCAGTCTTTTTCTGTTGTGCGAGTTTAATAATACAGTGTATGAGAGGCAGAAGATGCTGTTGTTCTGCCCGACGTGTGGGAACGTGTTGATCGTGGAGGAGGGTCAGAGATGTTACAGGTTCGCTTGTAACACATGTCCTTACGTTCACAACATCACCAGGAAGGTGGGAGGCTGATCAGACTAACTCTCAGCCAGGATTTTTTACATTTTGATCACTATATCCTAATTCCGTTTTTCTCTGTGTGATTTACAACAGGTCAACAACAGAAAGTACCCCAAACTAAAAGAGGTGGACGATGTTCTTGGGGGCGCGGCTGCCTGGGAGAACGTGGACTCCACAGCAGGTAAAAACACACATACAAGTTTAAAGTAGGTTAAAAGTGTCACAGTTAGAGCTGGACAAACATGCAGTATCATGATGCTTAAGTACTGATGATATCCATGATCTGCCCAGAAAACTGTATTGTGACATACTGTGACACACGTTTTATCACAATAACAATAAATATTGTAACATTGCCCAGAATTTGTTACAATTTCAATGCAGCACTGTCAGTGATCAAAATAACGAAATGAATCAAACCTAGCCATCAGACTGCGTCCTATCAGAGTAAAGTGGGAGAGGTTTTTCGCCCTAAATGAAAATTATATTGATGATTGAATGGTTTTATAAGGTTCAAGTTTTTGTATTGTTTGTAGCTCAGACACACTCTTTAATAAGATCACTGTTTTGTACAGGGGCATGCTGCCTTGCACTGTTTTATTTTGAAATTATATATGCATTTAATCTATATCCTTGGGTGATAATGGGTATTATCAGATATCACGATAATTTAATCACTGCAGGTATTTTGCAAATTGTCGTTCTTTCTTTCTCTTTCATGTGCCACATGATTTTATCTAAATTGCTTTGCCTTTATTTATCCATGTTAATTATGTGGTAATTATAGTACCATCAAAGAAAATGCAGGCTATAGCGTAACGTTCTGTACCATCTCACACGTGGTACTTTGTAACTGAATTTCTCAATGATATTGTTGATCACAGTAATTCTGCAAACGCTAATTGTTACATTTGTTACCACCCAAGCTTATTAATCTATGTAGTATTTAATTAGAGCTCCATAGAATTGATATTAATACAAGATATCAGGGATGCACCTATCATGATTTCTCAGAACGATTTGGATTTCTGTACAGCCAAATTGGCCAATTTTTATTATTCAAAGCTTACACTGTATAAGGTAAATGAACGCATGAAACACACCTGCACATTTCCAGCACATTCTGCTAGCCAAACCTACAATATAAACTATATTATTTGCTCTTTAACTGGATTTTTTTTTTATTCTAAATCAGTTGCCTATTCAGAAAGCAAGAGTGCTACATCGAAAGTACGAGGCAACTGGCTATGTTGCACAGCGACTCATGATACAACGTTTTGATACAGATATAGTAAAAGCATTCAAATACCACTTACCTGACTCAGGTTATTTCCATCGTAAAATTGCACAGATCTGCCATGATAAAAAGGATAAATCGGCTGATTGCTTATTTTGTGTTTTGAGCAAAAATCTTTCATGCTTCCCTACAAAATGTAAAAATTTTAATCGAAACTTGACCTCTAGTGGTGTAACAACACACTCAGCCTACAACTTAATTTGATTTGCGATAGTGGGTTTACGATTCGGTATCCTAATATGTCCTGATATTTGAAGAAAATTCAAATGAAGAATAATGATCACTGTAATCATGTTGTTGCACAACTTACTAATGACACTAGAGCTGACTGAGGTGTTGACTAGTGCCACTCGTTTGCAGCCTTTGGTGTTCAATGTAGTTACACTAGACGGCATAATTAATAGAATGTCCACTCTCTATGGTCTCCCAGCATTGCATTGTTGACCTCAGAGTACAAAATTGTCAAACCTGAAAAATGTATTGAGTTTAAATGGAGGGCAATAATAGTAATAAAGAAACTGTGTTGTAATGTATAATCACTCTTAATTGCCTTCATTGTAATGCAGTTCCATGACACTTTCCTTCCTGCATGTTTTATCTTCAGAACCATGTCCGAAGTGTGAGCACCCAAGGGCTTATTTCATGCAGATTCAGACCAGATCTGCTGACGAACCAATGACTACTTTCTACAAGTGCTGCAGTCCACAGTGTGGCCATCGCTGGAGAGATTGAGTGGACCGTTTCTTTGCAAGGACTGGTTATTTATGGATATTGCATCTTGAAACACCATGAAGAGTATATCACTTACACAGATGCACACAGGCCAAGCCCCTCTATGGTCAAACCTCTGTGGAATTCTTACTTGATATATGTAGTGCTAAGACAAGAACCTGAGATATGTGCTCCGAAAAAATTTGTAATTTATAAACATACATGGTGGAGCTGAAATGAGCACAGTGTTATTTCAGAGCAGGATTATTTGATGTCTTATTTGATATGGAAGCAAATGTAAGCTTATGCGTGATTTATCTGGGTTAAGTAGACACATTCTTCAACCAAGAAAAGAGTGTGAAATGAAACTGCTTTAATTGGATGATTTATGTTGAATAAAGTGACCACACACAGAAGAGTGTTTGTTTTTTTTCATTTATTATTATTATTATTATTATTATTATTATTATTATTGTTGTTGTTATTCTTAAAATAATAAATGTACACAGAGTCAGTATGTTCTGCTTTACATACATATGACAATTCCGGTTAAGAATGGCAACAGGTATTATGCCACAAACTACCTGTAGTTGTTGATCTAAAGTTAATGCATTCCTGTAACACATAGCTTTACATCTAGTCTGTTTTCCACAGCGTCAAGCCACTTTACAAAGCATTGTAGGCCTACAGGATTCAAAATTAAGTTCGATTAAAGGGAGTCAGCTCAGATTGTGCAAGTAGTCATAAAACCAGAGGAGCATGCATACTATTTTTGTATGAGATTGTTGTCTTCACTGAGAGGCATCCGTGAGTGTCTGTATGTTTAGTGTACAGTACGTTCATGCTGGTATCTAAATATATGAAGATGTTCCTTAAGAGCATGAAATCTCATTGTGATCAAATCCAGCAGAGAGTAAATCAAAATGATTTGTATAGCAAAATTCAATCCCATTCCCTTTTTCTGAGCTATGCCTTTAAGCTTTTTTTTTTTTTGGTGCGTATTAGAATAACATGCCTGACACATGGTGCTGGATCACTTCGTGGAATAGAATAAAGCTTCAAAACCAGGTGCCTCTTTTCTTGCATAAAAGAAAAACATGAGTGCTGAAAAAATAAACAGAACTGACATTGCTTAAATAATGCATATTACTGTATTACTGACCATCAAAAACAAAAACCATTGTTGTGCATCACAGAAAAAATGGTTATTCAATGTCCTGCTGGCATGATGTGTAGGGGCTACATTGGAAATCACTAAAATCAAGGCTGAGTAATAACTCTGGAGGTACAGACAGCAGACCCATATGGACAAGAAGTATATGTAAAATGGATTTAAATACATTTGGAAAAGTATGAAAATTAATTAATGTATTTGAAAATGTATCTTTCATATTACAAATACCCACCCATATATTTCTTTTCTGTATGGGGAGGGGCTTATTTTCCAGAAATTAATGGGGGAGGGTTGATTCTTTGGAGTTACTAATTTAATACTAATTACTAATTTCATTTTAGGTGATATCATGACTTCTATTACTTTTTAACTACATTAGCCTTATAGCTCCAGTACAGAACTAAAGAAGCAAACATCAGACACCAAAGTCGTCATGGTCAATCAATTATATTTCGGGCCAGGGGAAAACTGTACATTTGATTCTTTAGTGAACAATTCCTTTAAATCCCTATGCCTAATAACAGACATGAGTAAAGTGAAGAGTTAATCTGCTTTGGGTTCAGAGGCCCAGTGTAGCAAATAGCACAGCAGGACCAACAGTGAGCTCCCAGCGCAGATGGGACATATGGCCACAGAGAGTCTTGCGTGAGATTACAGTGATGGCATGCAGTGTGCTGATCACGTCCTCTGACAAAGCAGCTTTGTTTTGCGCATGTGCTGACGGTCACTATCCTGCCCAAGCACCTGCCCAATGGTCCAATGGCCTTTATCAGAGTACATCATTTAGAAGGTGCATATGGCCAGTAATAACTGCATGTTATGTTAGCTTATTAATTTTTAGGTCCCCCATTTTGACATCCATAAAACTATTAGGCCTAATAAAACCCAAACATCTTGCAAAAAAAAGCCTGACTTGGCTCACTAACAATGTAGAAGAACGCTTAATGGTTGAGGAGCATTAGAGCTATTTCTATCATTCACAGTTTAACAGGACAGCAAATGCAGCGAAGAACGTACCACAAGTGGCACAGGATTCAAAATGATGGACAATGCTGCACTAAGACATGGAGAATATTATGCAGAACCCGTCTACTATTTCGTTAAATTAATTATTATTACAAAGGAGCAGATCAAGAACATTTTGCATTACGTTTGCTGCCAGCTTAGGAAACCGTTCATGTAAAATTGCACAAGTCTACACAAGAGTGTATGTTACAGCTATCGACAAGCATATCGAGTCTTGCAAATCCAAACAACTTCAGAATGGCGAAAGAACGACGTCTTTCTGACAGTAACATCTGCTTGAGACTGAATATACAGGCGTAAGTATTCACATGTAGAAGGAACAGCATAATGTAGATCTTGGTCGTAACTGTTTTTGCAAACAGACACAGCCATCACAGGCTTTTATATTAACATGTTAAAATAATGACACATAAAAGAACAACCTCAAATAATTACAATAAAAATAACACTGACCCTGAAATGGACTTCATCGTTCAGTTATGCTACTCTGTAAAGTTCACATGAGATTGATAAAGTGACGGCTTTTCACACAATCCCCCCCAACAAGACCATCTGCCACAAACCTATGCGGCTTCATCAATACTAAAATCCTTACAGTACTCCCACAATTCACTATTCAGAAACGCTTGCATTATGCACATACAGTGTAGTGACTCTTCATCCCTTCTTCAATGAAGTTTGCAACTTTCCTCCTTCAATTCACCTTGTAGTGTCAATAACTAAACACAAGTCCTTGTACATGGTTGAGAGAGTCAGTGGTTATTTACAGTGAGCAATGGACGGACGCCTAGTAAAAAGAAAAACTGGGCAACCAGCTGGGGCTAAATGAAGCACAGCACACGCAGCGGAAAAACAAAAACAGAAAATGCGGCAGAACTCACATGAGTGAGCTATGAGGACTTAGTACAACTGCTGGGGTGGTGCTGCGGGGGTCGGGGACGCTGTTAGCATATGCGTTTGTATGTGTAGATGTAGCCCTTGCAGTTGGGGCAGGTGTGTGTCACATCCTTGAGGTCATCGATCAGACATGGGATCAAGCAGCAGCCTAGATCACAACTGTGAGAGAAGGAAAAAACTGTGTGAAGTGATGGCAACAGAAATGACAGACATTTCATGATGCTGCATAAAGACTGTAAAGGTCTGAAGCACATAGAAAGATCTATAAACTGAATATGAACTTTTTCATACCCTCTTCTTTTTTCTATTCCTCCATCAGTCAGAGAGGATGTTTATTTCAGCAGTCAGATTTTTCCTACATTGTCCAAGCCTTTAACAACTCCCTTGCAGTTTCTTTTATTTCATTTCTTGTCTTTTGTCTAATTAAAAGAAAGTATGCCTTTGTACCAGCAGTTCTTCTAAGTTTGACCAACAAGCTTATTTGCTGGACAACCATTTCTTCCTGTAACCTTGACAGTTTCACATTTATTAAACTAGTGTTTTACAGGGAGATTCACTCGAAAGAGGCCCCGAATATTCTGTAGTAACTCTTGCTAGGACGAAGCAATCTGAACGAAACAACGTTCAGTGTGCTCCTCAGTATATGGAGCTTCGAACAAGCTGGTATGCCCCTGCGTCAGAGCAATGAGGTAGGCATCGGACAGCCTTCGCGACATTTAATCTCCGTTTGCAACTTCCGGGTGCATACCCCCGTACCCTTTCATGCGTCTGGCAGAAAACAGAGGCTAATAATGCTGGACAGTGTGCTGCAAATACATAGCTGAGCCCAATAATGACTGTGATGCCTCTGCACAGCACACAGCAAAACAAACTTTTTAACCCACGAGATTTACACTCACTGCCACAGCAAAGGCAAAAGAAGTAAGTCTTAGGGTAAACCAGGTAAATCATGAGACTTGATAACTATGGAGGTTATTTAGCAGTTTGTTAGGCTTGTTGTAATATGCACAATGAGCCAGCAGGTTAATTTTCTCGTTATGTCCTGTAAACACAGCAGCATTTGAAGCCAGTGGCATGCTTTAAAAAAAATAATATGCATAATGAAGTGTAAGGCTAATCTGTTCTTGCATGGGCACTCCTAAATCAAAATGTATTTACATTTTTAAAAAAAAGAAGGAAAACCCCATGATCCAATCATAAGTGAACAGCACAAAGTTCTGGCATGAACACTATTCGGTGCGTCTTCAATAGACACCGGGATCCTCTAGAGGTGGGCAGGGAAATTTAGGACCACATAATATTTGTAATGTCAAGGCAACAGACGCACTGTATCCTCACCAAAAAAAAAAAACAAAAGCAACTGTTTTGGGTAGCTTCTTTCTTGTCTCCTCTCCTGATCCATGCAATCTACATGTTTGTAAGAGCCCGTTTATATACAGAAGCATGGACTCACAGGACAATTATGTCTGACAACAAACGCAGCAAGAAACTGTCTTAGTAAACAGGCAAATGACTCTTCTTCCAGTCGCGAAATCCAATCACAAGCAATCATTCGAGACTCATGTAAATGTCAGGTGAAAATGGCTACACATCTCACTGTCCGCTTTTGACCAGACAACTCAAGACAGTTGTTAATACCAGGTGGGGACACCAAACATGTTCTGGCTAATCGACTGCACCTGGGGTATGTGGAAAATCGCATAAATCACGTCATGTAGTTATATTTCTTTTTAACATGACCATTTTCCAACCTCTCTTTATTGCTTAGAACTAAACAGGCTGTGTTTGTAACTGTGTCTTTAAGACCACTGTGTGTAAATCACACTCTTTAGTGATTGGCTGCCATGTATCGTGCTTCTTTTAAAAAGCAGTCTGGGCTGAAACGCACAGAATATATTGCCCCTAGAACACAGAACAACACACCTTCTAGTTTATTCTAGTGTGCTAGACAAACGACAGGTTACACACAGGTGTCGACTAGAACTGCTTACCCCACAAAGAAGCAGAAAAGACAGAAGAGGGTGTTCATTAGGCCCACGTCGTGGCTGATGCGGGTGATAATGGCCTGCTGGCAGTGCGGACACACCGTCTGCACTGGTGCCGACTGAAACATCTCACCCTGCAGCACTGTGACCGTAGTGGCAGCCCCTGGCGGGGCAATCACCGTTGCTGTGTGACCCGGAGCTGGGCCGTAGTGGCTGGGCCCTGGACCAAACTGTCCTGGAATGGGGTGGGGATAGTGACCGGGGGGAGGGTAGTAGCCACCTGAAAATCATAAGAAGAAAATCTTCACTTCATATAAGATTTCAGTGTGTCTTTTCTACAAGCCAGGATTACTGTATGTATATTACATTTCACTGTTGAAGGTTTTTATGGAAGCATGGTGGGTTTCATCAGTAGCAGACTTACCGTGCGGATGTGGCATGGGCATGGGCATGGGCATATGGCCCTCGCCAGGGACGTGTGGCGGAACGAAACCTGGCTGCATTGTGGCCTCGTAAGGCGGAGGACCGTACTCTGGTGGCACAGGCTGTCCCACTGGGGGTCCAGTCGTTACAGGAGCTGGGCTTGCTAAAGAACCAAAAGGATGAGTGCAAGTTAACTATTAAGTTACACACACTGCAGTAATAAATAATTAAATAAATACATACATAAACAATTATACTTCTACAAGAGAACAATGTAGTACAGATTGTGGTTCAGCAAATCTGAATTCACCTAGCCTTTCCCATTTCAACAAAGATCTTTTTGTAGTTTTGGTCAAAAAAGCCAGCGAGGTGATGTTCAGAGAAGACAAATCTGTAAACTTGAGAACTTGCAGCACAGTACTGTTCAATGCAGTGACAAAGTACTAAAAACACCGAGCTCTTGCTTTTCCTTTCAAATTTAAGCGACTTGGACAAAAACAATAGTCATTAACAAGCATGGCTGGCTTTCTTTCCAGGTCTCCTTGGTATCCTCTTGGCTTTCGCCAACCCTGTAATTCAGCACCAGAGGACTGCTAATGACAATTTCTGAGAGCTTAAACACAAAGGCTGTTTTTTGGGTTTTTTTTGCATTAAACATGGCCTCAACATTAGACACATGACACTATAAAATGTATAATGTCTATGAGACAAAGAAAAGACATAGACGTACCAGAGACTGGAGGTTGTCCATTCTTCTCTTCAATAAGCGGGGCACTGGGGCCCCCTGGGTAGGGAGGAGGGGGGTCACTGGACATGCTGCTTCTTTGGGAGGGGGCCTCGGATGGGAGCTTTGCTCACAGCCCTCCTACAGACTCTCTGGTTGTCTCTGAGTAAGCACAAAGAGTACTGGCAGTTCAACCCACACTACACTCTGAGACAGCTGCACTGGAAGAATTGCTGAGGTACTGCATTACATCAAATTATCACAAATGTCCTCAAAATGCAGAGTTAAGTTTAGCTCTGGGTCCCTAAATAAAACCTTATTCATGGACTATAAATGGACAAGCCATATTTTTCAACTGTGAGGGGGTTAAATTCTCATTAAGGTATTAAAATAAGTAACAGAAAAATAATGGACTTCAACATTTCTCCAATCCCCATTTCTTATCAGTGATCTGTACATCAAACAACCAAAAGGTGAATGACCAGAAAGCTGAGGACCACCGTTATTTACAGTGACACCAGACACAAACAGTTTAGAATAAATGGCAAATACAGTACCTGAAAGTTAAAATGTGTCTGCCCAATCAACTTGCACCAAACACCAGGAAGGCCTAGAAGTTCAGAACAATGTGATAAGACACTGAACTCATTAAATACTTTTTCTACAGTTTTGGAAAGGACGGATACGCAGTAACTTCAGTAATGCGAATTACAACGCTTTATGAAATGAAAAAAAGAACCCACAGTCATGGAAATCCCCAGATGCAAAAAAGAAAAAAAAAGGAATATTCAAATATTAACTGTTGCGTCATCATGTATTTTAAATTTGTACCACAACCACCTGTCCAAATCCATGGTGTCCAGTTTCAGCCCTTGATGGTCAGAGTTGTGTGCTGTGGTGCTCCGACACACTCTGTCAACCTTATGGTTTTATGATAGGCTAATGATTTGAATCAGGTGTTTAAAGGGGAATTTTTTTTTTCAAAAACACCTATAAAGAGACGACCTAAAAAGAGGTAAATGGCTCTGCAATGAACGACTCTGTTTACATCTCAATGAGTAAAATGAGAAACTTTGAAAAACTGGTGAAATTTCCCAGCTAATAATAATAATAATAAGCTGCGCAATACTGTAGCCTAAAATCTACTGACCAGCTACCTAAACCTGTTAAATTTTCCACTCTAAATGGTGTGGAAAGACCGTACCTCATTTTGAAGATGAAAACTGTGATCCAAAACTCTAACAGTCCTTACAGCCTGCTCAGCATGATTTGCAGATTAGGCTAACATTTACACAACTCAAATGCTATGATATTATCAGAGATATTGTTTTTTTCCTGCTTGCATAAGAGGAAAACTCATAATCAAGTTGAGTGTGTGTGTGTGTGTGTGTGTGTGTGTGTGTGTGTGTATTTGTGTGGCTAGACATTGTCTCATGACAGCTGACGACTCAAACGTAATAAGTAAGCAAGTTAACTGTCAGGTTGAGTCTCGAGGCATCTCTTTGAGGGCATGACAGCCAGCCATAAGCATGGAGCTGGCAGGTTTTGGAAAGTAGGAAATAGTTTTACCACTATAAAACACAACCCGGTACATTACTCTTGCATATGAAGTAACAAAAGCAATATTTGGGGGGATTAGGGTTCGTCTGTTTGTTTGTTTTTCTGTCTCTGGATAATCTGTTGCTTCTCTGTTTACACTAATGAGGGGTGTTCATAAGGCAGTTGTCAAAATAGGCCACTGGAAAATTACAGGGTTTTAACAGACTGGAAAGTAAAGCACAAAGTACATCTGACTAGCAAAAGATTGTGCTGAGGCTGTCTTACATAGAAACAAGTAAAACTACATGAAAAGACTTTTAATACGGTATAGTTTCACCAAAACACCGAACTATTCTCAAATTTATCCCAATTATAAAAGTGAACATGAACCTGGCGCATGACAAGATTTTGCTCACGTACTGACAGCAAGAAAAATAGCTACCTTATCGAACTAATGCAACAGGATAACAAACTGACAACAGCCAGGTAAACACTTATTTCCAGGACGCGAATCATTTGTGTACTGAAGTGACTTCTTCTAGTTCCTTCTGACCCGCCTTCTAAACCCTTCGTACGGATTATACAACCACCTCGCAATGATAGGTACACTTATTTTGCAATCTTATGTAATACAAAGTTAACACTCTTACCCAGGAGCGTTTTAGTACAGTGACCCGATGCCACACAAATAAAAAAAACGCTAAACTACTCACTAGCAATTTCAGTAGCTATATAAGTTAGATATCTACCCAGGCATCACTGTAGGAGATTCAGGCTGGGAGCAGTTCAGAGCTACTGATTCAAGAGCAGCTTAACTGACATAATACTGAACACACACGCCCACATACAGCCGACAGGCACACAGCTTGCTGGACGGCAACGTAATAGAATGTATATGTATTAGCAATGTGGCTAGCTAATACCAGCTCGCTAGCTACCAACCACACTCACTTGCGTGCAGTGCAAACAAAACAAAAACTTGACCTAGCGTGCTAAGTTAGCTAGCTAGCTAGCCATCTCGTTGCTTCTGGAAGAGGACTGACAAACAGAAGCAGCGAGCTAACCGAGGAGCCATGTAAACAAAAGCTGTAACAGCACAGCACTGCTACAAGATAACGGTACAGATGATAGACTGACTTACTTTCAGTTTGTTCAGGTAGTTAACACGTTTATGACAATGATATCCAGGTAAAACTAACAGTTTGACTTATCTGGATGAGATAATCAGTATTTAATGGCTCCTGACAGTCCTCGGCTCTGTGAACTTGCTTTCTCCGAAATGATGCGCGCTATCTCAGGCCACAGTTACACACACGACCAGCCTAGCATGCTACCATGTCAACGTACTCCAGCACGAGATAATGTGGAATTTGTTGAAAAACACCGATGTGAACGATGAAGACTGTGAGTTACCTTTTTAAAGTGAGCGAATATCAGCTGGTACAGCTCCCCGTTCAGCCGTTAGCTCGACTCTCGGACAGACAACCTACTTCTCTAATAACATCCGCTGACGGGAAGGATTTGACGTAACAATGGAGAGGGGCCTGTTTCGCGCGTGCTCGCGCGCCCGTTTCGCACTACTCCCTTAACGCCTTGAACCCTAGAATAATTTTTTATATTAACCTTAAAATATGATACTAAAGGCTAAATATGAATAAAAATGAATAATTAAGACTTGTGGTCTGTAAATTAAACTACGATAAAACATGTAAGTTATGTAGTTATGAGAGTGAAAAACTTTTGTGGGCCTTTAGGGTCTAAAAGGTTAAAACGTGATTTTTAGGGGATTTTTTTTTACGGTTAACGATTAACTGTTCTTTCCATGGTTAAACGTTCTTCTCTATAATGGAAAATCAGTTGTATTTGATTCTTTGTTACAAGTCATAGAACCTTTTGGGAGTTACCTAGAACCCTTTTTGCTAACAGTGCACATGTATGAAACCTATAAAGTATTAGACGTTGGAAAAAGGATATATTATACTATTCTGAGTTGATGATAATATAGACACACAGAGGCCCAAGTATTGACATTATTTAATTATTAATATTTTAAGCCCATTTTAGACTAACAGTTTACCAAAACGTTTGAATGTTGTTTGCCTACTTCCAAAATAAAAGCATCTGCTAAATATGTAAATATTGGACCAGTTTTTTTTTTGAATGTTGATTTGTCTACTTCACAATTGTGTTAATTGCTTTGGTGAAAAAGACTGAAGTGAGATGAACTATGTGTAAACTTTATTAGACAAAACATTTTTCATGAAGCTCCTAACACAAAGTGTTTGTGCTGATGTAACTTCCAGAGGCAGTTTGGGAGGCAGTAGTGAGTGATGCACAGAGGTCAGCTACAAGCTTCAGCACTCAGGTGCCCAGCTCTGTGAGTTTGCATGGTATACCACTTTGTGGCTGAGCTATTGTTCTTCCTAAATGCTTCCATTTCACAATAATAGCACTTACAGCTGACTAGAGCAGATCTAGCAGAACAGATATTTCACAAACTGACTTGTGGCAAAAGTGGTACCTTGTGACAGTGCCACATTTAAAGTCAGTACTGAGCTCATAAGTACGACCCATTCTGCTGTCAATGTTTGTCTATGGAGATTGCATGACTATATGCTTGATTTTGTACACCTGTTAGCAATGGATGTGGCTCTAACACCTGAACTCAATAATTAGGAGTGCAGGCCACATGCTTTTGGCCATATAGTGTACAACTGTCTCTTCACAAATCCCCAAGTGATTATCAGTACTATTGTTAAAATAAGTTAGGAATTTTACTGCATAGTGGCAACAAATACTGAAATATCCAAATACCAAAAATACAACTCCATTTCCAAATAGTTGGGACGCTGTGCAAAATGTAATTACAAACAGAATGCAATGATGTGTTAATCATTCAAACCCCGTATTTAATTTGATAACAAGCGAGATGGTCCCTCTCCAGAGGATGCAGTGTCCATGATTTCCAAAAAGAATGTCACATTTCGATGCATCAGACCACAGGACACTTTTCCACTTCGCCTTAGTCCATCTTAAATGAGCTCGGGCCGAGAGAAGGTGGCAGCATTTCTGGATCTTCTTTATATATGGTTTCTTCTTTAAATGGTAGAGTTTTAAATTTGTGGATGCAGCAATGAACTGTGTTAACAGACACTGGTTTTCAGAGGTGTTCCTGAGCTGAGAACCCGAAGATCACGGCCAGCCAGTATTGTTTTTTTGGTCTTGTCCCTCGCACACAGGGATTTCTCTGGATTCTCTGAATCTTTTAATGATGTTATGTACTGTGGATGATGAAAGTTCTTTGCAATTTTACACTCAAAAACGTTATTCTTGAATTGTTGCACTATTTGCCCACACAGTCTTTCACAGAGTGGTGAACCCCTCCCCATCCTTACTTCTGAAAGACTCGGCCTCTCTGGGGTGCTCTTTTTATACCCAGTCATTTTACTGACCTGTTAACCTAATTAGTTGTGAAATGTTCCACAAGATGTTTTTTTTTAAGCATTACACAACTTTACCAGTCTTATGTTACCCCTGCCCCAACTTTTTCGAAAACATGTTGCTGACATCAAATTTAAAATGGGTATATATTTTTCAAACAACAATAAAATTCCTCAGTTTCAACATCTGATATGTTGTACTATTTTTAATTAAATATGGGGTTCAAATGAATCACACATCATTGCATTCTGTTTTTCTTTACATTTTGCACAGCCTCCTAACTTATCTTGGAAATGGGGTTTAAGTTTTAAAGCCAATCTATCTGTTGTGTTAGCGTTCCCTGCCACCGGTACATCATGTATTAATCACTAGTGATACTCAAGAAGAGACGTTATGAAAAGAGATGGCAAGGGCAGGACAGCTCACACTGAGAAATGTAAATCATGTGTGTGTATGTGTGGTGTTATGTAATAACAGTCAGAAAGGGTTGTAATAATATATAATAATCACTGTAATAATATATAATTATATGGCCTGTCATGGTTGTGAAATGTATGCTTATCTGATTACAAGGAAAGGATATTGAGGTTAACACAACCATAAACTGTTATAACGTCACTTTTCAAACAACAATTCCTGGCAGTCATATGATATTATTGTTTACACAGAAAAAAGTTTGCAATAAAAAGGTTGCAATAAAATGACTACAGGCAAGCCGAAGAGCGGCTGTTCCGTTTATTCTGTTCTGTTTTTTCTGAGTCTGCAATTTGAGTACAAGAAAACAGTAAGTAAGGCCCTAGTCATTATAATTACTCTCTTCCACTTGACAAAAGGAAGGAAAGAAGATAAGTGGACTTCAGTTTTGGCATGTAAAAGCATGTTTTTGCTCTGCCACATGATTATAGAACATTACACGCAGATGGCTATGGGAAATGGGGAAATAAGACTTCATTCTCTGCATTATCCTGATCATGTTTGCTCTGTTGTTTCCTGTTTTCTTCGTGACCCAGTGACCTAATGAGTTTTGCATAGACAAAACAAACTACTTCTGCATCATGGTCTAAAAACTCACAACATATCATCCGCTCCTGTGAAGAAAATAAGATAGAACTAAATCCTTGCCAGGGGCGGCATGGTGGCGCAGTGGGTAGCCTCCCACAGTTCAAAAAACATGCAGTCAGGCTGATTGGACATGCTAAATTGCCCCTAGGTATGACTGTGTGTGTCTGTCTGTCTGTCTGCCCTGTGATAGACTGGCGACCTGTCCAGGGTGTATCCTGCCTTCCGCCCAATGACAGCTGGGATAGGCTCCAGCACCCCACCGCGACCCAGGTTTAGATGATGTATGCATGTATGTATGTAAATCCTTGCCTTAGCTAAAATAATACAGGCTTATATAAAACATGTTTGTCATTTTGATGAAATGAGTAAGAGTAGATACCGATATTGGATCGGCAACTCACCCATTTACTTCATGAGAATATGGAATATGAAATATAATCATAGATCAGGGTCCACAATCTCAGAAACTGAGTTAATATGGGCCTTGCATTAACTATGGCATAAAAGAGCAACATGCCATCTCCCTACTTCCACTTTCATTTTGCTGCACAGTTATCACTTTTATAATATTGCTAGTTCTTATCTTTTAACCTTTCTCGCATATGCCATAAAATGCAATCTTCTATACTGGAGGACTGTCAGTTTTTGAAATACAGACAGAAATGATTTGCAAAAACAAAAGAGAATTGGATTTTTGTTTTCATAGGTGAGTAAGCTAGCCAACATTTATAAGTGTTTTGCTGTATGTAAATGAAATATGTTTATTGTGGGAGTTATACATAATTTTTTGATATAAATAAAGCTGCAGTTGTGCTGTCCGTTTTATCTCAGGCACAGTCATCTCTGTGGAGAGGAGTGCATTGTTTTCACCCCTCCCCTTTTACCCCCGTTGCTCTCTAGCAGCTCAACATTTCACACACACAGAGTCAACAGTGTCCAAGTTAGTCCAATGACAAAGTTTTGGGGAATATATATATTTTATTTGATTACATCAATTTAAAATATCTAAATCAAGGCCTGCAGAAAGAGGCTTATTTTTATATAATGTTTAGCCACATTACTGTTCCCACTCTATAATGTTCAAGAGCAGACACAACCTATAAAGGTAAAACAATGAGAATGGTAGAGAAATTGGTAGATTTAAACATTGGGTTTTCATTGATGAAAAGAGTGGAAAGAAGAAGTCAGCAAGAGTTGTCTGGTTGATATTTATCACAGGCTGTTATACATAATAATTGTTATACATAATTATCTGACAAAGGCTAGAGAACCATTAAAACCTGTTCGATTTCCTGCAGGAAACATGGAAAGAGTCCGAGTTTGGCGATGAGACAGGTGATTCATCTTTATGGTTGTTTTTCAGTATGCCACTGGGGGGCACTACGCCTACAGCAGATGGAGACAGAAAAGTCGGGAATTCTTTTGGCCTGTCCCTTTTAGCCCTGTGGTCCTGCTCCAAGCCCATACTTTAGTGATGTCAATAATGTGTGGATGTATATGGCAAGAAACCTCATGGGAGCTTAGGTTTTAAAGCGCTACTGATGGGCAGGCAGTGTAAGCAATCACAGTGGGGCCCAGGGAGCAGGGCAGGCCCGCAGCAGCCAGGCCCCCTAAATCTTAATTGTGGCCCTAATATAGATAATGACACAATTTTACACTGATTAATTCACAGAAAGAACCAGTTTCTTAACAACATCCCTAACCAAGTAACTTCAAACAACACTACACAGACATCTATATAGGATTGCTGAACTGTTTCAACATTTGTATTTGGAGCAGCTTCTTTTGTCTCATTCGCTATTGAGACAGCCTGCAAGATGATCTCACGGTAATCATTTTTGGTGACAGAGGAGGGGAGCTGGACTGGGAGGAAGAAGCCGTAACTCTTAGCGTGTTTGGATGC